CAGAGATGAGTCAGAAGGTCTTCATTGTTCCCCACTTCCGGAGACGTAACCAGGATGCCGATCCGGCTAATTTAAAAAGCCGGCAAATTAACTAGGAAATCGTCCCCCCAAAAAAATTAATTAAAATTTCAGCGCGGGTTGGGAGGTGGATAATCTACCAAAGCCGATGGCATGGGGGAGGGTGCGGTTGGTTTTTTTTTTCTTGGAAAATGCTTTCAGTTTTCTTTACCCGGAATGAAGACGAGCGCTGCTGAAAGATAAGACCTCCACATCCTCTTTCCAACTGAACACCGTCGGGAGTCGGGACTCAACTGAAGCGGACGTCTGACCGCTTTGTGATTCCGTTCCCCCACTGAACGTCCCTCCCTTCGCCGTGCCTGCTCCCTCGCCCGATCACCATCGACGGATCTTCTCCAGAGGGAAAACAATCGGATCCGCTGGCAAATCTTCAATGGTCTCGCACCCTCTGCTTATCCGGAAATACGATAAAGGATCTGATATGCCTGTCCAAAAGAAAATACAAAAATTAACCACCGACGGGGTGTTTAACAACTTTTATGAGGACATAAAACAATCAATTTTTTAAAATAATTTTTATATTAAACTTCAATCCTTTCCGAACATTTCAGTATAAACAAAATAAAAATCTGATCATCAAAAAGGCCCTAAATATATATTTTTTAATCTGCAAGTATGCTCTTTTTGTGCAGAGTAATGCCCTCATTCGTAAAAATAATTTGCCATGTTTTGTTTCCAACAGGAATGTATTAAAATGTGTAAATATTTTCCAATAAAAAGCATAATATAAAAAGAAATAAAAAAATTATAAGTTGATCAATAATTCATTCCCCTCATATTTGCTTGAGCTCGGTGTGTTCACAGAAGCGATTTCACCGGTCCTTTCATTATTTTATTTTAATTGATTTTTTTATTGAACACGCCATAGTAATAAATAATATACTGGGTGGCCCCAAATCATGGGTCTAAAATTCAAGATCTTATAGGAAATGGAATGCTGAGTAAAAAAGGTCCTATTAACCTGAGTCCGGAAAAGCTTCAGTACAGAGCAAGGGTTAAAAAAAACGTTTTCTGTCCATATTTGTGAAATAGTAAGTAAAACAACTCGAAACAACATTCATAATGCATTTATTTCAGCGTCGAATGAGACTAAAACCAGTCTGATTGGTTGAGAATCGTAATTTTCATCATTTTTCAAAGTTAGGAGGTGGATGGTCACAAAAAATTCATCGTTTCTGACATTTTGCCGATAAATTCAAAAGATGCACCCCTAATAAAAATTGTTCCGAAACAAACCTTGTCCGTGATCGAATTGTCCGTCAAATTGGGCCTAGTTTGAACTATACGTGAATGTGCAAAGACAGGTGGCTGGAGCTTTTAGCTGAGAGCTATTAGCTCGAAAAGAGGGGCTACATTGAACCGTGATTAACAATTAATGTTATTATTAACAAATTTTTGTAATGGTAAAAGAATAAAATGTAATATTTATGTAATATTCAAAAATTAAATAACCCTTTCAGATTTTTCGTACATTAATTGTACAATGATACCCATTAGAAAAGAGCGATTTTCCATTTGTGTGTAAAGTAATAAATTTGCCAAAATGGGAATGTTTCATCAATTGTACTGGGATTGGTCTAATTTGACGGAGAATTTTATCACCGACAAGGTTTGTTTCGAAACATTTTTTAGTATGGGTGCATCTTTTGAATTTATCGATAAAAATGTCGGAAACGGTGAATTTATTATGCCCCTCCCCATCCTAACTTTGAAAAAATCACGAAAATTATGATTCTCAACCGATTAGGCTGGTTTTAGTCTCATTCGACGCTGAAATAAATGCACTATGAATTTTCGAGTCGTTTTACGGTAGTAGTAGCGGTTTACTTACTATTTCACAAATAAGGTTAAAAAAACGTGATTTTCTTGTGTGTGTGTGTGTGTGTGCGTGTGCGTGCGTGTGTGCGTGTGCGTGCGTGCGTGCGTGTGTGTGTGTGTGTGTGTGTGTGTGTGTGTGTGTGTAACCCTAGCTCTGTACTGAAGGCTTTCCAGACCCAGGTTTATAGGACCTTTTTTACTCAGCTTTCAATTTCCTATAAGATCTTGAATTTTTGACCCATGGTTTGGGGCAGTATTAGCTGAGCATAGCTCTCACAAAAATGAAACTTTAATTCGAGTAAAACAATCATTCACAAGCCATTTTCCGTCATAATTGACTAAAAACTTTACTACCTTTATTTGTCTTCATTTTTATTTATCAATTTTTTTATATTTTTAATTAAACTGCGATCCTTTACGGGCATTAGATATAAACAGAATAAGAACCCTATCAACAGTATAATTCATTAAAAATTATAAAAAATCGTATTTTATTTTTGAATTTTTTTTAACTTCAATTGTTTCCAGAGATTTTGGTATCAATTCATTTAAAAAATGAAGAAACTCGGGTTTTATTTATTTATTTGTAATATTAAACTTCAATTGTTTCCAGAAATTTTGTACAAACAAAATCGAGTTCTACGTCTACAAAATTTACCATGAACCCTGTCAGGGTGTGTGACCATTTATGAGAGTGTCACTAAAGAAAAAAAATTTTCATTTTCATTTCTTTCCAAAGATTTTGTTATAAATAAAATTGTGTCCAAAATACAGAAATTTTTCCTGAACCCTGTCAGGGTGCGTGACCTTCGAACGGGGTCACTTACGTACAAAATGAAAAAAAATCCTAAGTTTTAAATACTTCTTATTCAGCTCCAATTCATCCCAGACAATTTAGTAAAAAGCTATATAAAAATCAGATCAACGGAAGTTTATTTTTTTGAAAAATGCAAGTAGGGCTTTTAGAACAAAGAAATGCTGAGACCTCATCTGTAATTGATCTACCCAAATTCAATGTGTAATATTATGTGGGTAGGTCCAAAGATTTTGTTATATATAAAATTGTGTCCAAAATTCAGAAATTTTTCCTCAACCCTGTCAGGGTGCATGACCTTCGAATGGGGTCACTTACGTTCGAAATGAAAAAAAACTCCTAAGTTTTAAATATTTCTTATTCAGCTCCAATTCATTCCAGACAATTTAGTAAAAAGCTATATAAAAATCAGATCAACGGAAGTTTATTTTTTTGAAAAATGCAAGTAGGGCTTTTAGAACAAAGAAATGCTGAGACCTCATCTGTAATTGATCTACCCAAATTCAATGTGTAATATTATGTGGGTAGCTTGATAGTTTGGTCCGCCCATCCTCGCTGTTTTGGTCTGTCAGACGAATTTCAAGACTGCCAGCAAATCTATTTTGTATTTTTTATTGAATAAACTTATTCAATGCGGTCAATTAATTAAAAAAATTATTTATTTTTGAAGTATTAAACTTCAATTTTTCCAGAGCTTTTAGTATAAACAAAATCCAGTTCAGTGCCTAGAAACTTATCCAGAACCCTGTCGAATGTGTGACCACATAGGTCATTATCTGCAAATTGAAGAAAAAATCAGAATGTTGGTTATTTTTCATTTATTTATTTATTTTTTTTTTTTTTTAACTAATGCCTATATTTAATTATGCCATATTTTAATTGCAAGTGCATTTCGGGCCACGTCCTTGGTCCTTCTTCAGAGCTCACCATTTAGCTAAAAGGAACTCACCAGTTAGCATAATGTACTAGTAATTAAAATATATGGCACAAAAATAAATGGTGTGTTTAGTGTTTAAAAAAATTCTAGAATTACAATATTTTTACCACTAAATTAATTAAAATTATTAAAAAAATAAAATTTAAAAATCCAGTGTTTTGGGTTTTTTAACTCCAATCTATTCTGGACATTTTAGTCTTCTTTTTTTAATGTGAAAGTATGGCTTTAGGTGGAATGGTCTGATTTCTTTCTCTGAAATCTGCCAAATTTTAGATCTCTATAAATCTTCGGTGTCTACACAGAACATATTTCATTGAGCCTTTCATTATAGATTTTCTCTTTTTCATTTTCCTTGAGTGCGGCTTAACAAATACAATGGATTCCAGTCACAAAATGACAAAATCCAAAAGTCCCAGGCAGATTTAACAAATAAATAATTAATTTAAAAAACACTCAAACACATATGTTATGCATGACATGTTTAATACATAGTGAATATCAATCGACTCTTGTCAACCTGTGTAAATGTCCAACTATCCTCAAAGCTAAATTGTTACTGGTTTTATTATAATGTGTTGAATTGCACCTCAGATTGACGCTGACTGTGAAGTTGGTTGCAAAGTGTACTTGTTGAATTTCAAAAATAAGACTGAATAGCAACAAGTGTTTTGGAACACACAGATGCTTAGGTATTTAGTAGAACTGAAACAAATAATGTACGCTCAAGTAATGTTTTTTCAGTTTTATTCTTAGTTTGTCTGATTGTTTTTTTGATGAAGCACTTACAGCATTTAAGATAATTTTCTTTATAAAATTAACTTTACAAAAGTTGTTCATTATCCAACAGGGCTAGTTTACAGTTTGTTTTAATTTTACATCTAATACAAAATATTAAATAAGGTGGGGTTTAGAACTGACCCCTGGGGAAAACCCCACATCTTTTTTTTTTCTTTTTGGCGTTATGAACTATGCATATTAGCCATGTGACAAATTCGTATATGTGTGTTCAAATTTGGGGGGTTATTGGGAAAAAAGGGCCAGGGGCTACGGTGGGAATCGAACCCACGACCGCGGCGTGAGAGTCTCTCATGCTAACCACTCGGCTACCGCGGTCCCCCAACCCCACATCTTTGATATATTGATTTGTGTAATTTGGTCATTACTAGTTATTGAGGTTTTACTTGATGCTAGTCTGTCAGTCATGTTTCAGCATTTCACCATTTTCACTTAGGCCTGGGTGTTGATTTAATGATTAATCACCCAGATCCAGCGGTAAAGATTGCGAAATGCGAGGATGGGCAAGTTTCTCGATTTGTCATATTTTTGTTAAATTTAACTATATCTTAATTACAGAGGCAAGAAGCCATGGCGTGGGTTACTGGAAGTTCTCAACCGACCCCGAGAAGAGAGAGGCAGAACAGGAGATGTTGCGTAAAGTGAGATCAGAGACAGAGAAGAGGCAAAAAGAAGCTAAAGCGCTGAGGGATAGAAGGGAACATCAGAGGCAAGCGAGGCTCATCGCCGCCAGGCAGAGACAGAGGGCCAGGCTCGGCCTGCCGCCCATCGAATTCACCGAACAACCTCAAGAGGAAATAGAGGAAGAACCTGTAGAAGAAATTAAAGAAAGTTTGGAGATCAAACTTCAAAAAGCGGCTCATGTCAGGCCTTGGGACGTTGGAAAAGACGGTGTCCAGAATCCACGTGAGTGTATTTTATTTAACTTATATATTATTTTTAGAAAGATTTAATTGAAGTCATTTTTGTTTTTTCTAGCTATGTCACAAGCGGAATGGGTTGCGAAAAAACGTTCAGAAAGGCCGAAAGAATTCGCTCCCGTTTATGTTGAAGACACTGAGTCGAGACACAAGAAATTCGACATTTCAAGCATCCCCCTGCCTGATGAGCCATTGCCTGAAGAATCCAACCCACTCCAGTCAAGGACGAAGAACTTCCTTAAGAAACGAAAAGAGAAAGAAGAAGCCTTGAAAGCTGAGAAGAAAGGCGCTGAAATCCCTCCTCCGATGGACTTCGATTACCACACGCCAAACGTCAACCAACGAAAGCACACCACTTCCATCGACCACAAAAGTACTGCTGAAGCGATTGACGCCGGTCTCAGACTCTTGAGAGAACAGTTTGAAAGAGATCAGAAAGCAACACCAAAAGGCACTTTATAATGTTTTTACAATTAAATATAATGCATTTATTTTTACTTGATCAATTGATTTTTTTATCTTCCAGCAATAAAATAATTCCCTCCCTGTCACGTATTACATGTTTTTACCTACATACAATATAGAAATTTGAAATAACTTGTATATTGATATTTTAAAAATAACAGAAAAATTGCAAGTATTTTATATCGCCAAGCCAAATCAATATTTTTAACAAATATGCATAATTGTTATCTTGTCATTAGGGAAGGGTTGATCCAGCTGTGATGGCTAAGGATGACTTCAAAGAAGCAGATGCTTGATTAAAGGGCACTAACATCGTCGAGGTATGGGCACCTCACAATTAAGTGTTTAACATATTGGGCAGCATTTAAGAGACATGAGCATAAAGCAGGGTTATTTTTGGGGATGGTTAGGAAACTTAGGAGTAGCCTTTGACCAAAACCTTTCCTGGCATTCTAACATATCCCAAATTTCCCGCCATTCCATTGCCTCCCTTAGCCTGTTTCGTCGATCCTGGCTTCCCGTACCTTTCTCCACCCGCAAACTCCTTGTATCTTCCCTTATACTTCCCTTCTTCGATTATAGCTGTTTGGCATACGGTCTCTGGGAGGAGGAGAACGCGCGATTGAAGCGTATTATGAATTGTTGCATAAGATTTGTGTACGGCACCCCACAGGGATCCCGGTGTCGGGGTTGTATTCCCACCTTTCCTGGCTATTCCCCTCCTTCCGTGTACAGTATTTCCTAGGTTGCTTTCTTTACCAGTCCATCCACACTCATCGTCCTCCTTACATCATCCAATCCCTCCAATTCGACCCCTCACATCTCACTCGTAAGACCCGCTCATCCACAATCAACCTTATTCTTCCGAACATACAACCCAAACCTTCGAAAGATCCTTTCTGATCCGAGCCCCTAAACTATGGAACTCCTTTCTACTCGTCACGCTGCCTCCTTTTCCTCCTTTAAATCCCACCTGTATAATCATCTCCTCTCCCTCCAAGCAGAGACCTCACATTAACATTTGTTATTTTTTATATTCTCGTAATTTTCTCTTCTGTCCTGCCTTATTGGTATACTACATTGTGCCAAGATTTCTATCTTTTTTTACTTTTAACTTCATAGAAGGAACTTCCTTTATTTATTTCATGTAAATTATTCTTAGGGGACACCAGTCCCAGAATAAAGTTATTTTTCTTCTTCTTTTGAATCAGTGAAGACACCATTTAAACCTACCATGCCAATTTAATATCAGGATTAATTTATAGGTCAGGGCCATCTTTGCACCTTTGTCGTGTCATAATTATTAAGAAAAAAAAACAAAACAATTTGGTTGTAGATCTTTTTGCTGAATTGGTCCAATTCCGGTTCCATTGTTCTATTGCCAGATCCTGTGGTTTTTATACTATGCTGGAAATGGGAGAAATTAATGGCTAATTCATGTGATAGCTGGATAGCAAGCTGGTCAGCTCTTTCATTTCCAGACCCACCACAATGGTCTTTCACCCATTTGACAAATTTAATCTGACTTTTTCAATTAGTGGAAGGTGGTTTTTCACTTTTTTTTTTTTTTTTAAGGATCTTTTTAAAAAATAGTTCCTACTCACAATTAGTTGTTTTCAACCATACGGATTTCAAGTTTATAGCTCATCATCAGGTTGAAGGGGTGCTACAACCACATCTCTCGACAAGCATTGTAAGAGTGAACCCGCCGATTCCCCGTCAATGCGACGTTCCAATGAGAAGCTGGTTTTTAATGCTCCTCAATTATCAACATGCGAAAAACAGGAATTATAACCCAATTAAATATTATATTAATAAATACTATAAGAAAATAATTGTAAATAATTAAAAATAAATGATTATTTTTTTTAATTTACTATTTATTTTATTTAATTATTGACTTTTAATTTTTATTAATTAAGAAAAAATTAAAATGATACCTTGATAATAGATTAGTAAATTAATGATAAAATTAATAAAAATTAAATTAATTCACATCAGGCTAATTCATAATAGGCTTTTAATAGGCAACAATCTTCCAACTTGTCCTCGATGTATGCGAAGTGGAGAACGTATCATTCTGACATATTTTGGTCGGCTGTCCCACTTTGCAACCCTTTAGGCAAAGGCTCAACCTTTCGAGTGATTTATAGGAGTTACTGGGTCTCCATTGTTCCTTTCGAAGAGCACTTTTCAGCTTTCTCAAATTTATTGGAATTTATAATGAGATTTAGGCCTTTTCTCAAATTGTTATACCATTGAATGTTTGTCTGCTAATGTTTGAATGAGAGTTGTACGTGCAAGATTTCTTTCTTTTTTCAGAAATTTTTGAGGCTGGCGGAGCGGAAAAATGAAATGGAAGAAAAGACCAATTGTGGGGTAATAAACTGCAATGCCCAAAAATCGCAATTTAAATAAGAAAATTAGCTCAAAAAAAAAAAAATTGTTTTGTTTCTTATTATTGTTATGTAGCATTAGTTCTATCATATTTGAATGGAAGAATAAAAGTTCAAGGATGAGCCTATACTCATGCTGAGACTGTTGCTACTCTGTCTCCATTATTATTATTATTAATATTAGCCATACAAGCCTATGGGAAATGTTTAAATTATGGAACAAAAATTCAAAATTCTAATTTAAAAAAAAAAAAATTTTATATGTAATTTAAAATGGGATTTTTGCATACATTTGGCCTTCCAAATTAAGAATTTTAAAAAGAAAAATTAAAACTTGGATGGCAATAGGATAAATTAGTTTACGAGTGAATGTTTGGTGTCGGAGCTTTATAGCACTCAGAAGGGATATAGCTAAACTAAGATAGGTTTGGAAGTTGGGGCGTGAAATGACCTTAGCCGTTAAAACGCCCTTAAAAATTAATAATAATAATTAAATTAATTATTTTATATGCCTAATATTATTTAGGTACATATTAAAAATAGGAGGTAAATCAAAATCTGTTATATTATTAATGCATTTATCTCCATGTTCAATTTTACATTTTTTAATTTAAAATTTCTCAAACCAATCCAGTTCCCTTCCTTTGTTCCTTGTCTCTATGTAACACTGTTGTATTTAAATTTTGTTTTATTTCTTTTAGACGGTCCTTAAATTCCGAAAATTTGTTCGATTTAAGTATTGGGTTGTCCGGAAAATAATGCAGGATTTTGGTATTAAACAAAAAAAAAAGAAACTAGTTACTTTAAAGCAATGTTCTTTAATCAAAATAATTTCCCATACTCTCAATACATTTCTCCCAACGTGTTGGTAACTTATTAATTCCGTCTGAGTAGAATTCAGAATTTTTAGAATTGATAAAGTCAATAAATGCATTTTCCAGTTCCGTTTGATTTTTGAATATTATGTGTTGTAAGTAGTGGTCCAGGTGTCTAAAAAAATGGTAGTCAGTAGGCGAGAGGTCCGGAGAGTAGGGTGGGTGAGGCAAAGTTTCATAGCCAAGCTCCAATAATTTTTGTGACGTTACACGTGACACATGTGGTCGAGCGTTGTCATGCAACAAAATGGGCCCTTTCCGATTGACCAAAGAGGGCTTCATTACTGCCAATTTCTGATGCATGGTATTAATTTGGTTACAGTATGATTCAGCATTGATGGTTTCGCCAGGATTTAAGAAGCTGTAGTGTATTAAACCAAATGAAGCCCACCATACCGTAACCATTACCTTTTTTTGATGAGTTGGGGGCTTTGGAGCTTCTCCTTTGTCGAGCCACTGTCCAGAACGTCTAGTGTTATCGTAGAGAATCCACTTTTCGTCACATGTAACAATTCTGGCCAGAAATGGGTCATTTTTGTTTCGACAAAGAAGTGATGCACAAACATCAAAGCGCTGATTTTTTTGGCGATCGTTTAATGAGTGTGGAACCCAATTTTCGAGTTTTTTCACTTTTCCAATCGCCTTGAGGTGGTCAGCGACGGTCGTTTTACTGACTTTGAGTTGCTCTGCAAGTTCTCGAACAGTTGTTTTGGGGTTTTCTTCCACCACTGATCGCAGAACATCATCATTAAGAGAGGAAGGCCTTCCACGACCTTCTTCATCTTCAAGGCTGAAATCTCCCTCCCGAAATTTTTTAAACCACCTTTGCACAGTGCACTCATTAACACAACCCTCGCCCCAGACTTGGTTAATGTTTCTAGCCGTTTGGGCTCCGCTTCGGCCGAGTTTAAACTCGTAAAAGAAAATCGTACGAAATTCTCGCTTTGACATTATAAGGATGACTGAATTATTTCCAAGTAGCGGAATGCTACAGAGGTAAACAAACAATATCATTTGGAAGAGGATTAATAAGTGTTGACATTCATACAAATGAGTAATCCTGTAAACGTAAACAGAATATTTTATATAGATTTTTTTTAATGAAAACTTAAAATCCTGCATTATTTTCCGGACAACCCAATAAGTGTTCTTTAACTCTTGTTTTTATTTCTCTGCCGCTTTGTCGCCACCATTTATGATTTCTATCAATTCTAATTTTTTAAGGAGTCCACTGAAGAAGATTGACTTTATGGATGCAAACTTTACTGAATGGTGTTTGCTGTTACAGAAGAACCTCCACAGCCCGGCATAACTTTCAGCCTGATTGTCAGAACAGCAGTCTGCTAATTTATCATTTCTTTGCTAAGATTTTTATTTGTACTGTTTCTTTGGGTTATCAGGATTGAACGCTGGATAGTCGTTGATTGGGTGATAGAGGTTTACCCTCGCTACTCACATTGTTTAATAATTGAAATTGAGGATTGCGTGTGCAGAATAATGATGAGATCTGTTTAATCTTAACATCAATTGGCACAATATTTCCTACTACGCACACTCCTTCATGTGGGATTGTTTTAAAACTTCTATCACTCTAATAAGTAATTGTGTGTTTGTTCTTTCCAGGTTTCTTCTGTGCAGTGCTATTAAATGTACTTCCCCATGCTGGGCACGCTTAATGATAGCCTGTAACAGCACCATCATGGATCACACTACTTCTGCGTTAAATACTATAACAATCCATATTTGTTTACTGGTCATAATTGACCATATAACTTATTCCAATTTATTATTATTTTATCTAAGGTTTCTGGTCGAGATGAAAAATCAGTGACACAAGCAGGATTTGAACCCACAATCTTTAGCTCAATATGCCATGCTCTAACCACTTGAGAGTGAATCGAAGTCATGATAGGTCAAGTGGTTAGAGCAGGGTCCTTTTTTTAAGTTATTTATTTATCAATTAATAAAGGTTTTTAGTTGAGATAAAAAAGTCAGGATCACGAGCGGGATTCGAACCCAGACCTTCGGCTAGATACGCCGCTGCTCTACCACTTGAGCTATCGTGACCTCGATCCACTCAGACACTCCCCACCTTTTTGAATTTTCCCTCCTTTTTGTCATTTTTCAAATGTCGTGTAATCTATTTGATTCTTGGCAACAAATGAAATGGCCACGGAGAGCTTTAGTGAAGGTATACTTCATTTTTACTTATTAAACCCACTAGTTTTCGTGGTCCGCTTGACCAATTAATATCTTGCAATGGGGCCGCAGTAGCCGAGTGTTAAGGCGTCAGACTCTCGGCTAATAGATCCCGCGGTCGTGGGTTCGATCCCCACTGTCGCCTCTGGACTTTTTCTAACGCCAAAGGGGACCGGTTGCCGCAATTGAAAGAAATTGACAAGGCAGTCATCAATGGAAGGAGCGGGATCAGATCTCAGCGACCCTGAATTTTATCCCAACCCCCTTCAAAAATATGTTTCTTCGATGGAAGAACACTGGCACACTGGGGGCTCAAATTCATCTTGTGTTGCGAGCCCCCAAAAAATGGAGCCAGGGATAAAATACAATAAGCTGCAGGAGGGAACTCCTCCAGTTCCTGGTATCCGTTGGGAAAAAAATATACCTTTCAATTAATTAAGGTTTTTAGTTGACAGAAAAAACAATAGTTCAAATGGTAGAGCAGCGGCATATCTAACCGAAGATCGAATCCCGCTCATGACACTGACTTTTTTATCTCAACTAAAAACCTTACTTAATTGAAAGATATTAATTGGGCAAGTAGATACATATGTTGCTGATAATTTTTATTTTATTTTAATACACTTATTTTAGAAGTGTCAAGAATTGGTCAAGTGGACCACAGAAACTAGTGAATTTATTTTAGAAGCTTAATTTATTGGGGTCAGGTCCCTTTTTTTTTTCTTTTTTTTTTGAGTAATTACTTTTTTTTAAATTGGTTTTGTTGAGTTTATTACTTTAACGACCCCAAAATGCATCAGCATCAATAAATAAATTGAAGCAGTTCTCTATGTATTTATCCAAATCTATCTTTAAAAAAGAATCAAAAAGGAAGTGGCGTAGTAATTTATATACATTCTGGCCTATGAAAGGCAAAAATTAGTAAATCAAGGCAGATTAGATTTTATCTTTGTTTAACACATCGTTTAAAAATATGTTCAAACCATAAAGGATTTAAATAAATCAAAAGGCACATTGGTTTATATTAATACAACATTTTTTTATCCAACAAACTACCACTGTTGCAATATATATATTAATAAATTATATAGTTACAAAAAATACATGAGAAGTTAAAATTACATTCATCACATCATCCCGATCAGGAAGCAAAAATGCCTAAAAATTAATACATATATTCTTCAAAAAAAAAAAAAAATCACAAGATACGAATATGAGATTTGATTTTCAAAACCAAAAGAAGGCAATAAATATTTTTATTCATTATTTTTTCATAGAGTAAAATTAAAATTTTTAATCTTAAAACTACCTAACTTTTGATTTTGTTTGTAAAGGAAAGAAGTGCAGCGTTAGAATTGAAGTGTTGAATAAAACCAAAAAAATATAATCTCCGTTTTTCTCAAGAAGGTAAAATTTACAGGCGGGAATCATATTTATGTTATTGATGGAATTACTTTTTATTATCATCATATTGCTAAACCATACACAGATACGATACAGTACATAGATTTATTTTCCCAACGAACTGTGCAACTCCCATCGGTGGTGTTGTCCCAGTAACAGGAGCTCGCACAATGAAAGCCAGCACCCTTCTTCTGCATTATAGAGCAGGTCACTGAAATGCAATGCAAATTGTTAGTACTGGACTGGAAACCTTGCAAAGAAAAAGTCCTGATTTGGCCAACTCCAAATCCAAAAGCCACAGATCTTTTATGACAAAACTGATCATTTTTGTCTCATTATAACTGTCAATGGGTCAAAAGGACAATTTAATTTTAAGACTAACATTTAACCACGGTGGTAAAGGTTGATGTTGAATTGTTACAATTGATATAAAGAAAACTAAAAACTATTAAATCAATAATACGCTAATATTTTTATTGTAAAATTTCCTCTTGGGTTCTACAAAGTGATGAACTTGTGGTTGGGTCATTTTCATTCATTTTGATCTATCAGACACTTCAGAATCTCCATCTAGCACTTAAGATCACAAGACTAGTCCAACGAGCCAAAATAAATCATAAAACTACAGATATATAGATGCATATAAAAAATTTTAAAAAAACATAATGGTCATGGTTGATCATCAAAATGATCCAGATTGAGTATTTGTGACAAGAAGTTAAAAATCTACTAAAAATACTTAAAATAAAAATATAAACACCATTTTTTCGATGGTATAACAAGAAATGGTCGAACACTGAACCAAATGTTGGCAAAATTATGCACTCAAAGACAAAAAAAACTGGACAACCATATTTTGTTATTACGTCAAACTATATGAATTTTTATTGTTATATTTACAACATACTTATTGTAATGTAAACCAAATTAAACTCAAACAGAAATTCATGGGTTTAAATCAAATTTATTTACGATGGTTTGAAAGAAAATTCACCAAAACATTAGAAAATCATTTAGTGATAGATTAAAATTTAACTAGCAATTTATTGGTTTTGCTTTTAATAATGCGAATCTCAAACAGTGATTTTATAGTTTAATCATTTCCAATACTTAGCATATACTTGTTGAAATGGGCTATAAAACGCATTTTGGCTTCTCACCATCTTCAGTAATGGATTTGTGTGTTGGCAAAATGGCAAAATAAAAATCCGCCCAACAGACCATAGTAGCCCTCACTACAGGCATACCAAAATGTTCAGAATGACCAAGTTCCTTACCCCGCAAACCTCGAGAGGAAATTTCACAGTAACATTTAAAGTCATTTGCCACTAATTTAATAATGAAATATCTTTTATGTTTACATTGTTGTACTGAAAATAACCTGTAATATTAGCCATTTACTAGAGAATGTCATATTAAAAAAACAATCACTTTCATTGAAGTTTTACTAACTAGACAATGTTTAGTTGTTCAGTATTTTTTCATGTGTACTCTTACAGTGAATTTGTAGTTTGGTTATTTATAATCATTTTTGTTGGCTATCCTCACTGATATGGTCTGCAGATTTGGCAAAGAAACAGAGGAGACAGCACAAAAAGAGTTTTGGGACATACAACGTAACATAGAAGAAATTCAATTACTGAAACCGGGGCTACTAATCAATTTCTTCATTCTATGACTCATCAGTGTGTTGATACAGGGGGATACAATATTCTCAAAGGCACAGTATATAACACACCGAGTATTACATTTTATGTAGGAAACAACATATAACATTAGCTGAGAATTATTTATTAACTGAACATTGTAAGTTGTTCAGAATTTTTTTATTTTTTTTATGTACTAAAACATATGTAAAGTTAGGTCATGGAGGATTGAAAACATGGTAGCTTAACTTAGCAGAACATTGTTGGCACCATTCTACAGACCATGGTTTTGAATCCTACCACTTATTTTTTCATTTCAAAACCTTCAAGAAAAATGTGTTGCTATGAGAGGAACTCATTCAATACATCAATGGCAAGAGCTGGGAACATATAGTAATGTATACAGTATATGGTTTAATTATTTATTAACAATATTGTATATATGGAAATGAAGTCTGTACATACTAGCTGATTACTTCATTAGTTTCACAGGAAAGAAGGACTGTCTATGTCGAAATGTGTTCGGAGAAAAAAATTTTGTTAAAACAAAAAATTGTGCTATTATAATTATGTAACAAAAAATGGTGCTATTATAATTATGTATAAGTTTATATTTGAAAATTGAAATAACAAAATTGTGTAACATGTTACTTATGATAAAATAAGACACATACCTACTACTGAAGATGGATAGAGGCTTATATACATCTGACAGACCAAAATGATCAGAAACGACCAAACTTCAAGTTCATCTATCATTCTGAAAACCTCAAGAAGAAATCTCCCGATAATGCTGAGTGTCATTTGCCACTAATTTAATAATGAAATAAGTATTATGTTTCTATCGATATAGTAAAAATAACATGTAATATTAGCTGAAAAAGAAAAGTGTTAAAACAAGGATGTTTACTGTCACCAATCCTTTTTTCAATGAATATTAACAATTGGGAAAATGAACTGGAAGGAGGAATAAATCCTAGATAACCCGACTGTACTCCAGGATATTATTAATAAACTGTTCCAGAGGTTTGTTTTGTTGAGCCAGCAGGCAAAATACAAAAATTGCATAAAGTTTTAGATCATTTATGATTAAATAAGTCACAAACCTACTACTGAAGATGGATAGAGGTTTAAATCAATCTGACTGGCCGATAGAGTTAAGATAGACAGACTGAAATGATCAGAAATGGCGAAACTTTAAGTTCATCGATCATTCTGAAAATCTCAAGAATAAATCTCCCGATAATGTTCAGTATCATTTAACACTAATTGAATAATGAAATAAATATTATGTTTATATCACTATACTGAAAATAACATGTAATATTAGCTGAGAATCGTTTACTAAATGGGCATTGGAAGTTGTTCAGTATTTTTTTTGTGTATTGAAGGCATGGCAGCTTAATTAGGAAACCTTTGGAGATCTACCGCTCTAAAGGCTGAGCGTTTTAATCCTACCGATGAGATTGATATATTTATTTCAAAATTGTGTATCGTTGAAGTACAAAAATTGTATTAAGTGCTGGGTCATTAATGATTAAATAAGACACAAACCTACTTCTTAAAATGGATAGAAGGTTAAATGCATCTGACTGACCAATACAGCAAGGATAGGCAGACCAAACTGATCTAACATGACCAAACTCCAAGTTCATCACTCTCAAAACCTCAAAAAGAAATCTCACAATAATGTTGAGTGTCATTTACCACTAATTTAAAATGAAATAAATATCACATTTATAGGAAAAATGTAATATTAGTGAGAAAGAAAATGGCTCAAACAAGGATGTTTGCTGTCACCATTGCTCTTTTCAATACATATTAACAATCTGGAAAATGAACTGGAAGGAGGAATAAAGGTCGTAACTGTCAAAATAAACTTCTTATTATATGCAATTGATGTACTCATCGCAGATAACCCGATAAGGAAATGATTAATAGACTGTCTCAGCAGTTTGTTTATGTTGAGCCTGCAGGCGAAATACAAAAATTTCGTAAAGTGCTGGGCCATTTATGATTAAATAAGACCCAAACCTACTACTAAAGATGGGTAGAGGCTTAAATGGATCTGACTTTCCAATACAGCGAGGATAGACAGACTGAAATGATCGGAAATGGCTAATCTGTTATTTCAACACAATGACCACATAAATAATCTACAATAACTTGTTTAATGATCAAGAGAAACGGCCGATTCCAGAAGAAATGCAAAAATTAAAATTACCAATGTATTTAAAGGACTTTTGCAATTTGGTCAAGTGTCCCAGGCAGGATTCGACGACGTTGGTCGCCCACTGGTTGACTTTCGTCTGGGTGTACGCGTTTCCTCCGATGGCATCTTCGATCACGTCCCTGATTATGCTGCTCACCTCGTCGACGACGAACTGCGGCTGAACCGAGAGAAAAATTATGCAACGGCAAACATGAAGGTATGCTGTGAAACAATACCTCTTCTCCGATTTCGTCCATTGGCGTTACGGAACGTTTTCGAAACTGGTTCTCGTTGATATTATCTTCTTAATATATATCCTTGGTACTTAAATATCCACTGTTAGTATCCCAACGTCATGGTAACAGCAGAATTGCATTAAATCTGATGTTACAAGTTTACAACTGTAAGGTTACCACGACCTGCTGCTGCTGCTGCTGCCAACGTTCTATCAATCGCAAACCTCCACCCATGCCCAAACCAGGACAGGATTTTAAATAAGAGTTTTTTGATGCTTTACTCCTTCTCGAATGAAATCCTTGACATCAAATTAAAAAATTTCGATTAATTTGTGTCCAACTTGAACTGTTTAATCTTGCACGAAAAAAAGCATCTCACTTTTTTTTATTATTTATACTTTGCTAATTGTAATATTTTATATACATTAGCATTTTCCATTCTTCTAAAAATAAAACAGAACAATATTACATATTTCAAAAAAAAAAAAAATGTCAACCTAATCAATGTATTCACAATTGGAAGAAAGATGGAGAAATAATAAATTGAGTCAAAATTAACTAAACAAAAGGAAACAATACTGACCAGACTGAGAATAGGGCATTCCTGACTGTCATACATACTAATGGAGAGGCTCCTGTATGCGTGCCCCTCCTGGGGGCTGACTGCAGGAGTAATGTCGCCAGGCTGCAGATTGTGTAGAATAAGTTTCTTTTTTTTCTTCCGAGCATATCGGAACTGCACAATGCGACAAACATGTTAGTGTTGCTGGAATATATTAGAGATGCAACTATTAAATTTTTTAAGCAATTCGAAGATAGTACCAGTATAATCTGTTGCAAAATAGGCAACTATTGCTTGGACGACAAGTAAATGCACAGGAGAATAAAGAACGCTCTTTTATAAATTGACCAAAATGCGTTTTTTTTTTTTTTTTTTTTTTTAATCTAATATTTTTTTCCCTTGATAGAAAAAAATAATGTAAATAATAAAATTTTTTGATATATTCTTACTAGCTGGAGGTAAGTGCCACTAGACAAAAACTCCACTTTACCATTTTATATACAGTATAATGTATACATTTGTAAATAAAATTTTGTTTTGTTCTGTAAAAAATGGAGAGACTGCCTTGTCCAATATGTAAAACCTGTGATGTACAGTTAACGGAGAAAGATATTTTAATTGACTGATCTACAAAGCATAGGGACACAATGCTCCTGTCGAATAGTCTTGCTTATATATTGGGAGATTTGAAAGTAGTAAATAAATCCTAATTGGCTTCTCTTTATCTTTAAATGAGCACATTTAAGTCATGGTAAATAAAGCTCCAAAACTATCATGAGTCATAAAAAGAAACACCATTCATTTCAAATTTTAATTGTGTAAAATTCCTTCTAGAACAACTCACCTTTATACATGACATTAATTATATTTATTATTCACCTATAAACTGTGTCTGTAGATATATACATAACTTAGAAATAGAGGTTTTGTTTAAATGGCTTTCCATTAAGTTGGATTAGCCAAGATAATAATAAATAATGTTTCAAACCTTATAATTTAAAAATTGTTTTAGGTACTGTACATCCATTTATGATGGAGTTCCATCAAAAAAGTACAACGGACCTCGAAAAAGTCAGTACTGTGTACCCTTAAAAAGTTCGTATATTTGTTGTTTATGTTTTGTAAACTGTTTTTAATATGGGATTTAGCCCATCAGCAAATAAACATATAAATAATGCTGGGAATATAAAGATACTTTTTAATTTTTTTACAATCAGCAAATCTATTAAATCAGTTATTGGCCACATTAAATTTTAAAAATATTCCTCAGTTATGCCTAAGAAACCAGCAACTTTTTTTTTGCATTTCTTCTTACAAATATGTACTACATCAGGGGTAGCCCAAATATCAGAATAATCCACAATTACCTCGAGGAACATCAAGTACATTGGGGTGAATGCTAAAAAGATTATTACATTTTTATTTATTGTGTTTTTGTGCATACGTTTGTTATTTGTGTTATTTTATCCTCAATTCACAAGGCCTTGACTCACTAGTGTACAATAAACATGTAATTTATTGTATCTTTCTCCTTCACCTTTTGTGAAAAGGTTTTCAGTGTTAACATTAAAATAAAATAATTTATAATATAAATGTATAAACTTCTGATCAGTAAGTACAAAAACGTCTTGTTCTTATATATATTTGATGTTAAATTGGCCAAAATTAAAATGTATAACATATATTTTTGTAGATCACTGAAGAAGTTACAGTAAAGTTCCAAAAGCTAGGCGAAAATTTAAAATTAAAAATATCTTTCTTTGACCACATCCCCGATTTTTAAATAAACCAAGAGAAAGATGTCTGCATAAGTTGGTCAACAAATCTACAGAACACCACAGATCATATTCCATCCTTTTATATTATTATTCCTTTAATGTTAAACAAATATTTAAAAATTTAATAAGAAAATGGTTCATTATTCCAAGACTTATTCACATTTAATAGTCCCATCCCCAGGAATCGAGTTGTTTATTATCCCAAGCCACTGTGGTAAATTCTGTCAATATCAACAATATCATGTGAACTTTTTTTATTAAAAACATCCAAGCCTCTATTTTCTTTGACGCCTTAGCTGTTTTCGCTCCACAGTATACTTGAGTTCTCCATATTGAATTCCAAATAATTCCTTTATTGTCTTACAGTAGCTCTATTTTGTCACTTTCCTTGGACTCCCAATCTGCTCATCGCCTTCAAATTGCTTATCATTCCTGCATTAGATACTGTTATGATTTCAAACCAAGGGATCATATTTCATCCAATATTGATGGCTTCAGCAACCTTAAAATTCTAAACAGTTATAAACTTAGAGTTTTAATATATACATATATTTAAAAATAAATCAAATAAATGTCTTCAATATCTATCAACTATTTTCCCTCATTCCTTATCCAGACGCACCAATCACATCCCAAGCCTTCAACGTTCTTCTAAACCTTTAGCATCCTTCGGAATTGCAGGGTCAAGACTATGGAATTTGCTTCCTTGGGAAGAAGTTTTGCTTCCTCGCCAGCTTCTTTCAGTTTCTTGGCATTTGAGTTCTTAAAAACAACACAAATCATCTTTTCTTCCTTCTTTATTTTCTGTTTCATTTTTTCATCTCTTGCTGCTTTTCTTTCATAATGTGTTTTCATCATTCCATTATAAATAATTAATATTTGAAATTAATTAAATAATTAATATTGTCATTATTATTAATTTTAATTTTTAAGGGCGTTTTAACGGCTAAGGTCATTTCACGCCCTAACGTCCAAACCTTCTATCTTAGGTTAGCTATATCCCTTCTGAGTGCTATAAAGCTCTGACACCAAACATTCACTCGTAAATTAATTTATCCTATTGCCATCCAAAGTTTTAATTTATCCTTTTAAAATTCTTAATTTGGGATGCCAAATGTATGCAAAAATCCCATTTTAAATTACATATAATTTTTTTTTTAAATTAGAATTTTGAATTTTTGTTCCATAATTTAAACATTTCCCATAGGCTTGTATGGCTAATATTAATAATAATGTTGACAGACTAGTAACAGTCTCAGCATGAGTATAGGTTCATCCTTAAACTTTTATTCTTCCATTCAAATATGATAGAACTAATGCTACATAACAATAATAAGAAACAAAAACACACTTTTTTTTTCTTTTTTTTGTGAGGAGCTGACTTTCTTATTTAAATTGCGATTTTTGGGCATTGCAGTTTATTACCCCGCAATTTGTATATTCTTCCATTTCATATTTCTGCTCCGGCAGCCTCAAAAATTAAAAAAAGGAAGAAATCTTGCACGCACAGCTCTCATTCAAACATTAGCAGGCAAACATTCAATGGTATAACAATTTGGTAAAAGGACTAAATCTCATTATAAATTCCAATAAATTTGAGAAAGCTGAAAAGTGCTCTTCGAAAGGAACAATGGGGACCCAGTAACTCCTATAAATCACTCGAAAGGTTGAGCCTTTGCCTAAAGGGTTGCAAAGTGGGACAGTCGACCAAAATATCTCAGAATGATACGTTCTCCACTTTGCATACATCGAGAACAAGTTGCTAATTAAAAGCCTATTATGGATTAGCCTGATGTGACCTATTCACAATCTAGAGAGAATCACAAGTTCTTTTCTCTCAAGTTCCTCAGCTGGGCATTTATGTACAACTGGCTTAATTTCTTTCATACTATCTGTACAGACATTCAATCTTGCCGCCCACTTTCATTTGGTAATGTTTTTAACATAAACTATATCATCTGGGCGGAGAGGAAACTGATCTCTTTGTGGAAGGTTTGCAGCGTTCCTTGCCTGTTGATCAGCTTTTTCATTTCCAGAAATGCCGACATGACTAGGAACCCAAACGAATACCACATGTTTGTTAAGTGTTCTGATTTCATAGAGATATTTGTGAATTTCTAAGATGTATGGGTCAAACGAGAAATTATTTTTGATGGCTTTGAGACTACTTTTCGAATCAGAGAAAATAATGGCATTACAAATTCCTTGCAATTCCTTTATAATGCTCAAAGATCTTCTGATTGCATGAAATGTATATTTTATTATTATTGCTTTTATTATTTTATTATGTTTATAAAACTTAATTTATTTCTTAAGTTTTAATACTTATAAGCCCCAAACATAACTTATGTCGGGGTATGGTGTCGTTTATTCGCAATAAAAAGTGTTTTTAGACATTCAAAGAAATACAATACAAACATCCTTGAAAAATTAGGTCTTATTTTTGTACTTTGTACTGAACAAGGGAAACAATAGCTCGATTTTCTTCTTCTTTTTTTTTTTTTTTTTGAACGTTTGACTGTTCAGAAATAAAAACTTGTTTTACCATGAAGATTTCAACTCGAATTTGAATTTTCGAAAATTCCGCTAGAGTAATATCTGCCATTTATGGATTTGGGCTGGTGTTATTTAAAAAAATAGAAATATATTCCAGTCAACTAGGAATAGGTGAAAAAATTGACAAAAAAAAAATCACAACGAGCCGGGAGGAGGAAATTTTCCCATCGATTTTTACGATTTCAAGGTCAGGCTGCGTATTTCAAAGGCTTTGGAGTTGACTGTAATTGTCTATTTTGTCCATTCATGTTACAAGGTTCGAGTTAGATTTCCATTACATTCCTGTTTCTTCTTGCTTTTAGTCGTAGTCATATCTCGTCTTCATTACTGAAAACATGTCGATGAAAGCCGTATGCGTACTCAGCGGTGAGACCGTCAAAGGGACCGTGTTTTTCGAACAAAAAGTAAGTTTGGAAGGATATGAGTTAGAAATAAAATTATTTTAAATAATTACTGTCGATTTTCAGTCGCCAGATTCCGAGGTGACGGTCACCGGCGAGTTGACCGGCCTCTCGAAAGGCCTCCACGGTTTTCACATCCACGAATTCGGCGACAACACAAACGGTAATTTTTAATTTTCTCCTTCAAATTTATTATAATTTTATAATAATTCGATAGAAATTGTTGCACCTTTTATCGAAGATATTTGCCTTCTCAGCAGCACGATTGGAAATGGTAATGATCAGAGACCGGATTTTTATGCAGTAAAAATTGCCAAAATATTCAGTTGAAAGCCCTGAAATATGCAATAATGTGCAATATTAATACGTTAAAATATGCAATGATATGCAGTAAACAAGTTTTTTTTTTATTATCAAAGTAACTTTAAACCGAAATGTAAATAATTAAATGAAATAGATATTAAAACTTATTTAAATTAGTTAATATTTATGTAAGGTATTGGTTGAAATGAAAAAGTTAGTGTCACGAGTCGGATTCGAACCCACGACCTACGTCTCAATACGCCGCTGCTCTAACTGCTTGAGCTATTGTGACAGTGGTAGAGTAGTGCCGTATTGAGCTGAAGGTCGTGGGTTCGAATCCCGCTCATGACATTAACTTTTTTATTTTGACCAATACCATACATAAAGATTACCTAATTGAAAGAAGTTATTTGATCAATCGTACTATGAAATATAATGGATTAAAATTTTTTTAATGAGGGTATTTCAACTCTGAGATTATTTGAACCCTCGAGGTGTCGGTGTTTTTGAAAAAAGCCCATTTGAAGTCTGTTGGGTTCGAATGGAGGGCTGCTGGATTTGAACCAGGGACCTTTACAGTGATGAGCGTTGTTAACCTAAACTGTTGCGGTCACCGACGCCCCCTGGAGTTTATTTACATTTAACAAAAATATTTTCTCATTTATATGATTAAATTATATATTTTATACTAATGGAGTCTAATTAATGTTAATAAACAAGTACTTGTCTAAATTGTCTTCCGTAAAATTGTGCCTATGGTTACTTAAAATTTGTGTGAATATTGAATATTGAAATAAGTCCTAAGAAGGGGTTTTCGTTGTGGCCTGTTTCAGTTTTTGAATTAAACCAACTTTTCGTCAACTTAATTTTTTTTACAGAACATTTTTATCCTTTCCCCGAAAACCGTATTTTAAATATTTTGCACAATAAATGCAACTTTAGGTAAAAATCCTTCATATTTGGGATATTGTTCAAATATGCAATTTTATGTGATATTCATCAAATATGCAAAAATATGCTCTATAAAATTTAACCTACAGCTTCCTAGATACATGATTCAGATAGAAAATTGATTTCCTCGGTTGTATGTGGTGGCAAACAAACTGCATAAAAATCTGGTCTCTAGTAATGATCGTTGATTCCAACCGGCTCTTTTGGAAGCCAAATTCTTTGGGCCATTTCACAATGTTACAAAAATAATTTTTATTATTATTTAAATTGGTTTAAATTTCTAAGGGAGTAGAACCAGAATTAATAACCAAAAAAACTACTCTATCCACTGAGATTTAGTTTTTATAATACAGGGTGACAAACTTTGCCGGTGATTTCACACAGTGACAAAAAGTTCATATGGACCCTGGTATTACCATTTCTTAGATATTCAACATTTTCTAGTACCATGGATTAGGTTTAGAACAAAGGGGGAAACAAATCGTACAATTGTGTGTAAACGGACCTTGTTGTCAACACATGGAGTGCTTGTACAAGAGCAATTTTATGATGGAAGTCTTTTGTCTGTGGCTTTAAACTAAGAAGTATTGAGTCCATCCTATTTTAAGACATAGATTCACAAATAGTACATTTGTTACTCTCTACCCAAAAGTATTTGATTATGAACCAAAATTTTTCAATTATTTTGGAATGTCCATTAACTCGTGACGATTTTTTGCACTTGATTAGGGGCGATATTTTATCAAGACCTCAGTGTGTGAGGGCATCCCGCCAGAAAAACAAAACACTCGTCATAAAGCATAGAAAATGTTGACATTGCAGAACAAGAATACGTCAACTTTTAAAAATACATTAGAGAACAAGCTAAATGGTCCAGGCATTAGACAAGATTAAAAAAAGCTTCAGAACTTCCTCATCATGCTACAATGCTGAACTGTTCGACAGTAAAACCACTTGAAAGTGAAGAACGTGGTGGTTGATGAGTTGTAGCATTTGTGGTGGTTGTTACAGACATGAAGGAATAATAAATATATTAACCATTACACTCTATGTCCCATATGGCAGGTCTTTTTTTTTGTCAATCAGGAGAAAAAGAATATTCTCTGGTAAAACGTGTGTTGGGCTTAATCGCGTGTCACTATGTGTAAGCTAGTAAACTTCAGTATTTCTCTAACACTTCATGTTTACTAGGCCTTTGGGTTGTGGTTAGAAAACCCCATCCTCCTTTTCTGACCACAACCCTAATCCACGAGACTATTATAGAATAAAGGTTGGTTGATCACACAGAAGATACTATTAGATTCAGCAGGATTGCTTCTCTTCACTATGCACTTATACAACATTTTATTTTATTTTTTCAATGATACAGGATGTTACATGGTCTGACTTGAAGGATTCACTTTAAAAAAAAAAAAATTAAAAAATGTAGTACAGTGCCACCTGAACAGGGTTTAGACAGTCTTGTCTCTTTCCTGAGATGTTAACAGTTTTGTGATTTTAGCCTAAAAATCAGATTTTTAAAACCTAAAATTGTAATTTTTCAACCTTAGCGTCATTAAAATTCAAATCTGATCTTTATTTTGCAAACTACATTTAATTTCCCACAAGATAAAAATATTTTTGTTGAAAAATTTGCGCTTCTGAATACACCATAACCACTGAGAGAATAATTGGTGGCAAAACCGATGATATTTTGGAAATAATCAATTGTGGTTCATGCAATGACTCATCAGAATTTTCGGGGATTTCACCAAAGTTGCTTTATTTTGTAAATATTCCAACGACATACTCACTTTCACTTTTTTTTTGTTTATAATTTTTGTTAGTGAAATCCCATTTTTTGCAATTTCCCAATTGCAAGATTAAAAACACGATATTGAACCCAAGGAGAGGAGCAACAAAAGAACATTGTATATATATCATGTTTTTAATAAAAAAACATTTATCAGTGGTAACAAAAATTATATTTATTCTTCTCATTAAAGTAAAATTACAGTGAAAATGAAACTTCATTAAATTATTCATTTTTGCAAACTAACTGATGACTTGAAAAATTTTGTTTTCTGGGACGGAAAATTTAATATAGTTTGTGAAATACAGGTTAGATTTGTAGTTCAATGAATCTAAAGTTTAGAAATTACAATTTTGTGAAAAAAAGCTGATTTTAGACTAAAATAACAACAATGTTAATATCTGAGGAAAGTGACAAGATAGAAACCTCATTCTGGTGGCACTGGACTAAGTTTTTAGTGTATTACATTTAACTTCACTATTTTTCATGGTCCGCTTGACCAATTAATTAAGGTTTTAAGTTGAGATAAAACCTTAATTAATTGAATTACATTTAACTTTGTAACACATTATATACTGTTTTCATCACAATTTTACTCATAGCTCTTGAACTATTTATTTTGGGGAAATAAAAAAAAAACTGAAAATTGGCAGCCTTCTAGCTCGTTCAATAAAAAATAAAAAATAAATCCTTCTTCTAAAAACTGCTGAGTTAAAATTTGTAAAAAAATATATATTTATTTAGTAGTCATAATTTACCATATTATTTTATTTAAATTAAACATGCTTTTTACATAAGGTTTTGATTGAGATGAAAAAAGCAAGTGTCACCAACGTGACCCACAACCCACGAACTTGACCTATCAAGACTGATCCACTCGGACCCCAAAAATTATGAAAACATTGAAAAAGAGGGAAAATTGAAAACATTGTAGGTTGAGATGAGGAGTTGGTGTCTGAGCAGTTAGAGCAGCGGCTTATTGAGCTGAAGGTCATGGGTTCAAATCCTGCCTGTGACACTTTTAACCTTAGAAAAAAAAAAATTAATTGGGATGCTCTTTCATTTTTATTACTTAACACTTCGCCAGTTTTTGAATGAGCAAAGAGGAGTGCAAATGCTTTCTTTTCTTCTGAGTTTTCTGCCTTCCCTTCGCCCACCTCTCCTGTGTGAGCATACATGGCCTCATTATTAATCATCTTGTATTAATCCTGTTTGGCTTGATTTGTTTGTTTTGACCTGAGAAATAATAAAGTGTTGCACAACTTACTAACACAGTTTTGTAAATTGAATTTATACTTTGGCATAATTTTAGTAATTTTCCGAGATTCTGCGTTAGTAATGAAGTGCTGGTTTTGTCTAAACTGACAAATCTTGTGGGCCTCATTTTGTAAAGGCACCCCAAATAGAATTTTTTTCCTCTCCCTGCACCAAGTTGGTTGATAAGTCTTAATGAAGTAACATAAATAATGTTTATGTGTTAAATGTCTTACAGATAGACTGCTTAGTTGACATGTCTCCTAAGCCTTTGATGGTGGGCTAAACCCACTTTAACTGTTTCTGTTATGTGAGTTCTATATTTTATTCTGCAAGAAATTTAAGAATTACTGTGTTGGAGTGCTGGGTACATCTCTACTAGAATTGTCATATAAGTTGCTCAACTAATAATGACTTTGAGGCCAGGCGATCTTTATAATCTGATTGTAAATATAACTTTACGTTTTAATTAATAAATTCATGGAGGGGGCTTGTACAGCACCTTCCAAGATCAAGGTCAAGAGCTATTTTGTTATGAACTTGTACTACATTTGTGTTTCACCGTTGTTGGTTGCCAAAATATTTTCCCCTGAAAAGGGGTTCAGCCTCTATCTGATAGTGTAATGTGACCTTATAGAAACTGCATATCTTGTTTTTAATCACTGCCCATTTTATTTTTGTTTTACATGAGTCCGTTAAATAGGCAGTCAACAAGCCATTTAAAGTGCTTGTTTTTGTCCTGTTTCACATTAAACATTATGTCATTTCTTTTATTTTCAAATTTTACAATAAGTTAATTCATATTTGCTTAGTGGTCAAAATTGACTATATTGATCATTCCTATTAATTATTCTTTTTATCTTAGGTTTTTGGTTGAGTTGAAAAATTAGTGTCACGAGCGGGATTCAAACCCTTTGACACAATACACAATTTTACAATATGCCAGTAATTAACTTATATTTAGTAACTAGTGTGGAAAAAAATACTATCGAGATTATTTATTCGCTAATATTGAAGAAAAAAAGTCCTTAACATTGATTACTTAGCACATGTATATTATAATTTTAGTTTGCTTTTGGTTCATATTAAAATTTTGTGGGTAATTATTCAGAAATCGTGAGATCTGGTGTGATGTAGGTTTCAGAAAAACATTTTCTTTATCGTGTCAACGTTTCGATATTTTTTTGAGATTATCTTCAGGGCCTGGGATTTACAAACATTGTTTAAATTTAACAAATACATGTAGGACGTGGAAAAAAGTGAATTTATACAATGTAAAAAAAATTTTTTTATATTCAAAGTATTTCTACTCACTCTTTGTGGGTAATATTAATTTTAAAAGATTTCCTCCTAAAGCCTGTGGTGTCATTGGTAGTTTTGATCATTTTGGCCAGCCCTGGGTAGACTCATACCCCATCCCTAAAAGGTCCGGGATTTGGTCGGCTCACGTGTCCTCCATAAACCTCTTGGACTTGTTCACAAACCCCAAGATTTTGGACCATTTAATCTCGGGGAGTGATTTGGTGATGTCCTCTCCTTCAAAGATTTCGAATCTAAACCTAGCATACCTATGACACTCTGCGAGGTAATGCCTTGCCGTTTCTTCTTTTATTTTGCAGAAGCGGCAAAAGGGATCTGGTAGGATACCCATTATGAAGAGGTGTCTTCTCAGTGCTCCGTCAGAATACCTATCAGCCTCCTAATTCCCTTCCTTGAGATAGAGAATAGCCATTTCGATTCTGCTGGTTTCATCGCCTTAACAAGCTCTTTTGATTGCCTTTGACCGGGGGATAAATTCCACTCCCTAAGGAATTGTTTCATGCCCCAGCTATTGATACTCTCCTTCGCTGAGCTCATAGAGTGAGGTAATACCGATTGTGGCCCGACAAACGCAGTATTAGAACCTTCTTTGGCTAGGCCATCCGCCTTTTCATTGCCATTGTGTCCTTTATGTGCTGGTATCCAAATAAGGGTCACCTTATTCTCAAACCTGAAAGAGATCCTATTGATAAGATCTGTAGTTTCCTCCACCAAGGTGATGTCTCCAAGATTTGTGAGGTTGACAAATCTTTTTGTAATGCCCTAAGACTAGCCTGACTGTCAGAAAAGATTTTAATATCTTTTCCCTTAATTTTATTTTCCATAAGTGTCATCAATGATACTATTTGTATGTTGTTGGTTCATTGGTTTTGTGTATTTTATTTATTATGATCCTTTTTATAAGTTAGTGAAATGTGTTCTGTTTTATCTTTTTGTTTTGGAGACCGCAGTTGTTAGTTGTTTGTGAGCGTCAAACTTGGCTCAAAGACGTCGTAGTTGTGGGTTCTGAAAGTTTCTTTAGTCTTTTCTTTTTATTATTCTGCCCTGGCTAGTATGGAAATCATAAGCCATTAAAAAAAATCTGTTTGCTCATAAAATTAGAGAGTGAGAGTTAAGCACATAAGAGTTATAAGCAAAAGGGGTTGAGATGGGGAGTTGATGTCCAAGTGGATCGAGGTCACGATAGCTCAGGTGGTAGAGCAGCGGCGTATCTAGGTCGTGGGTTCGAATCCCTCTCGTGCCATTAACTTTTTTTCATCTCAACTAAAAACCTTAATTAATTGTCATGTATTAATTGGTCAAGCGGACCACGAAAGTAGTGAATGAAGTTATAAGCAAAGTGAGACTGGCACAAACCACAGATGTTGGCCAAAGACTGAAACATATCTGATAAAACCAAAATGATCGGAAACAACCAAGTTACAAAATTAATTCTGTCAGTAAAATTGCTTAGTCACTTCTTTAATTGATTCAAGGTCAATGTAGTGCCACACTTATCCTTATCTTTTTTTTTTTTTTTATTTAAGAAATAATTGTGTCACACATAATCCTTAGATTTAAAAAAAGATTTATTTCATAATAAATAAATAAGTTTACATATTTTAATACAAGATAAGTTAATGACCAACTAGATGTCTATATCTATTTTAGGTGTTGTGTTTATGTTAATTTATGGGAATGAATGTAATTTATTTCATTTGTCGCCGAGAATCGAATCCTGATTACACGACATTTGAAAAATGGCAAAAAGGAAGGAAAATTCGAAAGGTAGGTTGAGATGGGAAGTTAGTGTCCGAGTGGATTGAAGTCACGATAGCTTAAGTGGTAGAGCAGCGGCATATTTAGTGTGACACTTCGCGTGGGTTCGAATCCCGCTCGTGACACTAACTTTTTCATTTCAACCAATACCATACATAAAGATTAATTAATTGAAAGAAGTTATTTGGTCAATCAGACCACGAAATATAATGGATGTAATTTATTAGTGTGTGGTGATTAGTGACTGTTAATCGATAATTATTCAGAAATCGTGAGATGAGGTGTGGTGTGATGTAGGTTTCAGAAAAAGATTTTCTTTATCGTGCCAACGTTTCTTTCTTTATTGAGATCATCTTCAGGGCCTGGGATTTACAAACATTGTTTACATTTAACAAATACATGTACAATGTGGAAAAAGTGAATTTATACAATGCAATATATATTTTTTATATTCAATCAAAGTATTTCTACTCACTCAAAGTGTTTGTCTTTTGTGCAATTGTGCCATTCTTGCGTGTCATTTTGAGAGTGCCAGAGAGATTAACGTATACATAGATAACATACATATATCATTACATTACATTCCACACATTAAATATTTTTCACCACGATAAAGAAAATGTTTTTCTGAAACCTACATCACACCAGACTGCATCTCACGATTTCTGAATAATTAACTAATTTATTAGTGTGAAAGGAAGGAGTTGTTTAACTTCACCGTGAAGATTATCAAGTATGAGCGTATTATATCTGGAGAGTAAAATAAGTTAATGGAGTGGGTTCAACCTCGCCCCAAGGAATATCAAGTATTCTGGGGGAGTGAATGTAACCAGAATTCGAAGTTTGTGGTGAAGGATATATTATGGATTGTATGTTTTATTCAGTAATTGACCACCTGAGGTGCAAATGAGAAGCTAGCATTTTAGGATATCGACTTAGTTTTCATATGAAAGCAAGGTCAGTAACCAGATCGACCGTAAAATGGCTGCAAAGTGCATGTGAAAGACGAGAAAGAAAAATACAAGTCAGCCGGCTATGACCTCAGTTGTTTGTCTGCCCTAAACTTCCCACATTATTATTTAATATGAGATGTGCTTAGTCATCTTAGATGGTATGGCATAATTTAGCTATTGTAACCATTATTAAGAAAGAACATTTTCCCTTTCATTTATTATAAATATTGAATTTTTCATTGAGAATTATTCTCAATTTTGTTTGTTAGGTTGCACAAGTGCTGGTCCTCATTTTAACCCCAAGAACAAAGAACACGGTGCCCCTACTGATGAAGTTCGCCACATCGGTGATCTTGGGAACGTGACTGCCGGTGCTGATGGAAAGGCCAAGGTTTCCTTAACCGACAAATACATTTCACTCTGCGGGCCAATGAGCATCGTCGGAAGAACAGTCGTTGTAAGTAGTCTTTCTACAAATTTCACCCTACTAGTTGCACAACAATTATTTTGTGTACCAACATAAAAAAAACCTCTCGTAATCCTCATAAATCCTTAACGAATCAAAATTTATAGGTGCACGCCGATCCGGACGATCTTGGAAAAGGAGGGCACGAGTTGAGCAAATCAACTGGAAACGCTGGAGCCCGATTGGCCTGTGGAGTGGTCGGAATAACAAAAGCATGAAATAATGGGAACTTAACTTTTATCAGAAATATAAATAAAATTGAACAAGAAAGAAATTCAAAATTGTAGCAATAAAGTTTAGAATTGTGATTAAAAAGTGTTTTACCAATTAGTTATGAATAAAATGCGAGCGTTGCACACCTCATCATGGTCGATTCATTAAATTTTATGTTGGTCCATACATTGTTGTGAAAGCTACATTCACTGTTTAGCAAAAAATGAATACATTTTACTGTTTTTGTTAATTAATTTTTTAAAATAAATATTTGTATATTTTGGTCTCATTGTCATATTTATTAAATAGAATACATAAGGCTCACTGATATATTATCCTCATGGACTCTTATATTTTATTTGTCGAAAGGTCCATGCTGACCAAGACGATCTCGGTAAAGGAGGACACGAGCTGAGCAAATCAACTGGGAACGCTGGAGCAAGGCTAGCATGTGGAGTTATTGGAATAACAAAGTTATAAAGACCAAATAAAAAAGTGACATAAGTTAAACAAATATAATTTATATAAATTTATTGTAATGTACACATTAATATAAACAATTGAGTATAAGGCAATCATATGATGATGTAACCTATAGTGTTGTTGAGATCGCTAATTAATAAACGTGGACCATTCCATATATAAATCTGTATTTTGTTAAGTCATTTATCAGTAAACAAACATTACAAAAGCTGGATACCCCCTGAAACATTTTTTCTTAATAATTACAACTATGATCGAGCAGTTTCAGAAATTTCAACCTGTAATTAAAAAGACAAACATAATACATATTTACAGTGTCCTTTTTACATGGCCTGGATGAACGAACCAATGACGCTATTAAAAAGAAAAAGTGTTTCATATTTTTTAGTCTAGTTTCAAGTTTTTACCTTTTTTTGGAGAAAAATTATACAGGGTACCTCAGGCCAGTTCACTTCAAAATGTGTGGTGATTGACTGTTAGTCGATGATTATTCAGAAATCGTGAGATGCAGTCTGGTGTGATGTAGGTTTCAGAAAAAGATTTTCTTTATCGTGCCAATGTTTCAATCTTTATTAAGATCATCTTCAAGGCCTGGGATTTACAAACATTGTTTAAATTTAACAAATACATGTAGGATGTGGAAAAAAGTGAATTTATACAATGCAAAAAATATATTTTTTTTTATATTCAATCAAAATATTTCTACTCACTCAAAGCGTTTGTTTTCTGCATAATTATGCCATTCTTGTGTCGTGTTGAGAGTGCCAGTGAAAATGTTTTTCTGAAACCTACATCACACCAGACCGCATCCCACGATTTCTGAATAATCACTTCAAAATGTCAAATTCAACCCTATACATCCTGATACATCATTTTAAAGAAGTTTTTAAGCTGAAAACGATGGTGCAATCAAATTTTAAATTGGTCAAAAAATGAAAAAGTTATGGCAAAAAGGCAAATGGTTTGCTATTTATTAATCACATTTCATGTTCGAACTGCCTGCTTGGCATAAAGATGCAAAGATGTGCTCTTTTTAACCACTCTTCATCAGTGCTCAGAGCGATAGAATCAGGAGAGATGGATAGTCAAGCGTTTTCTATCCTTTGCTGCAGTTCTGAGGTTGATGGGTTATGATTGGAATAGACACTGTTTTAAGCCAAATGGAGTTAAATTGGGTTACCGAGGAGGCCAACAGATCAGAACATGAGGTCATCCACCTATCCTGGAAATACAGTACAAGTAACGTCTCACCTGCAAAGAATTGTGTGCGGGGCATCTATCAAGCTGGAGAATCATTCGTTGTCTTTGCTGTAGAGGAACATCATATAATAATGTTGGTAAAACCTCCCTTAGGAAATTATTTTAGTAGAAATAAAGCCTAATTAATTTATTTTCAAGAAATCCACACCACAAGTTGACACTGTGCACTACCTGATGATGACAAGACTATGGAATTGTCAGGTTTTCCTCTGCCCACATTCGAAAATTCCAATGGTTTAGTTAGTATGCCATTAGAGGTGAACTTGGATTCATAAGTCCATTGGATGTACGGAAGAATATTTTCTTCAGCCTCCCAAATTGACATTTGTGCAAGGAACGGTTAGATGCCTGTCATAAATAGAGTCTCTAGACAAGATGAGAGCGATACGGCTTAAAAGTCCAGAGTACATCTCTAAATTTATTTTTTGAAAAACCTAAAACCCTTCCAACATTTTGGAGAGAGGAATTCAGATTTTCGTGAACAGAGTAAAATATTCAGCACCTCGTCAAAATTACACTGCCAATTTCTTTTCACCACAACTTTATCATTTTTTGACCAATTTAATATCAGATTACACCATTGTTTTCACCATAAAAAATTCTTTAAAATGATGTATAAGGTTGCATTTGAAATTTTGAAGATGAAATGGGCCTGAGGTACCCTGTACAATTTTTCTCTATAATTTGAAACTAGACTAAAAACTATTAAACACTTATTTTTTTTTTTATAGCGTCATTGGTTAAAGAGAATTTCATCCGGGACACCTAAAAACGACACCCTGTATATAGATTTAGCCAGTTTTCAAAAAGGATACGTCCAAAACAGAATGTATGTCTGTAACAAGTAAGTTAAGGTAAATAATGGATTATTTCGAATACAATGTGTCTTGTTAGAATGCTGATAGAACCAGTGATTTAATAGAAAGAAAAAGGATACAAATAAACCCCCGAAGAATCCATTTGTCAAAATGACTCTCCTATTTACAAAATATTTTCTCCACTGTGAGCCTGCTTTCAGCATCAGGAGACCCTAGAGTTAAAATGTAAAAAAAAATTAATTAGCTAAAGACTCGAATTTAAGCCGAGCAATGTCAACACACCCAAAGCCCGAGTACAGCGAATACATAAAAGCCGAATCCATAAAAACCAGTGAGTCCAAGCAGGCCTGCCGTGCTGCCGGACAGAGCAGCCATCGACGTCCTGCAGTACTCTACGACCGCTGAATTGTTCCTCAATGCTAATTCACTGTACGCAATCATTTCTAAAAGAAAACTTCCCTTAGTGTTCACTATTAGTTATTAACTTTAATTTAGTATTCACCAAACTGTCAAAATTACTAGATTAACTACTAATTGTGTAAAATATTAGAAAATCATAACTCGTACATTTACTATACATTCCAATACAAAAACATGCATTTCTCACCTCCTCCTTTCTCAAGTTTAGTCTTCACTCGGCCTACGACCATTTTTTTAAATGTAAAACCTGGTTGTACAATCAATTAAGGAAATAAATAAAGGAACTTAAAAATTAACACTTTTGAGTCGTTGGAAGGTTTAAGTCGTGTTATTTCAAAATGTCATTTCAACTGTGCACGACGGTTTCAAAAGGAAAAGATAAATGACGTCATTGAAGTTTAACTTTACAAAAACAAGACTGGCTTTTTCATTTCAACCAATACCTTACATAAAGATTAATTAATTGGAAGAAGTTATTTGGTCAATCGGACCACGAAATTTAATGGATTTTCTAAAAATAGCTAAATATTTAGATGCAAGTTATTTATTTTATTTTTAAGGTATAAATAAGCCTTAAAGCCCCCTAACATGTACACATCTTAGAAATAAATTTTGTTTATTAAACAAATTAAAATAATAATAATAGCAATAAAATGTAAAACATATAGTAAAAATGTACAAAACAATAATATTTTAGTGTAATTGTAACAGCCTGTATTATTTGTTTTATGTAAAGATTTTTTTGTTTAAAATTATTTTGTAAACAACTTTTGTAAGAAAGTGTATTATATTTATATTTTACGTAAGAAAATTTTTGTTAAATTGTAATAAGAAAATGACAAGAAAGTGTGCACAATACAACTGAACAGACTCAAGTCCATGCACTGTGTTGTTTATAAGAATTGATCAACTTTTTTGGAAAACAGATCTACTTCATAGAGATAATATAATGTAATATTTCATCATATGTACTACTAAAAATGCTTTATTATTTTATTATGAATGACAATACTATATTTTATGAAATATTAATTATTTATAATCCAATGATGAAATTGCATTAATAAAGAAATGCAAAGAGAGAAAAAGAAAGTAAAAGGAAACAAGGAAAAGAAGAAAGAGTGAAGAAAAGGAGATAATTTGGTTTGTATTTAAAAACTCAGATGTCCGGAAACAAACTAGCAACGAAGCAAATTCTATAGTCTTGACCCTGCAATTCTGAAGGATAAGGCTAAACGTTTTAGAGGAATGTTGATGCTTGGGATCTGATTGGTACAATGTGATTTAAGGCAACAGACAAGCTGACAAACTAGCAAAACCAACAGCGCTAAGAAGCTTTTGACTAGAAACACAAATTGGGCCAAAGCACGCTAAAAACAGAACTTAACTTAATGGATGGAAAAAGAAATAGCCACACACTGGATGAATTCATCAGGTGCAAAACAATCAAAGAGGTTCCTACCTCTCTTAGGATACATGAATCAAAGCAAATTGGCCATTGCCAATTTAATTAATACAATGAAAAAATGGAAAAATCATAGACAGAAACATGCTGATTCTGTCATGAAGAGGCAGAAATATTAGAACATGTTCTTTGCAATTGCAAAGCATTAGCCCAAAACCTTCTTGAAAAGGCAATATTAATGCTTAAGTAAGTAGAGGAACCCTTAAAAATGCTAAACTGCCGTATGGGTGGTTCACTTTTCATTAGAATAGGCAGATCAAAATCAAAATCTACCAAACTTCACCAATATTATGGAATATGGACCCCTAAGTGGGTGCCAGGGCACAAGAGGCTAGGAGGGAAAAACTAGGTGGCAAAAAAGTGAAAAACCAAAATTAAGCATATCACAAAATATGCTGAATGACATCTAACACTGGGCTAAAATGCCAGGACTAATTAGAAAAAAGTAACTATTTCAAACAGAACAATAAAATATAAATGATAAATGCAGTGAGTATGTTGTTCAATCTTTATAAAAAGGTATTTCCCATTCACAGTTAGTTGTTTTCATCGATCTGGATCTCAAACTTATAGCTCGAGAGACGTGTTGTAAATTCTTTCAACCTGATGATGAGTTATAAGCATAAGTTTGAAAACAACTAACTGTGAGTTGGAACTATCTTTTAATAAAGTTCACTATTTTTTGTGGTCCGCTTGACCAATTAGTAACATTCAATTAATTAAGGTTTTAAGTTGAGATAAAAAAGTCAGTGTCACAAGCGGGATTCGAACCCACGACCCTCGGCTAAATACGCCGCAGCTCTACCACTTGAGCTATCGTGATTTTGATCCCCTCGGGCACTAACTTCCCATCTCAACCCCACCTATTTGAATTTTTCCTCCTTTTTTCAAATGACATTTTTTTTCAAATATCATTTGAAAAATGGCAAAAAGGAGTGAAAATTGAAAAGGTGGGGTTGAGATGGGAAGTTAGTGCCCGAGGGGATCGAAGTCACGGTAGCTCAAGTGGTAGAGCTGCGGCGTATTTAGCTGAAGGTCGTGGGTTCGAATCCCGCTCGTGACACTGACTTTTTTATCTCAACTTAAAACTTTTAATAAAGATTGAACAAGTTTCTTTCTTGCTCAGCAGGCTGGAAATAAACATCATCCATTGCCTATTTAAAACACCAAATTGAAAAAATTGCCGACTGCGGCTGACCCAGCCAAGACATCAGATCCCAACCACTGTTACTTCATGACTTTAGCTTGGATACCACTTTAAATAAGAAAAGTAACAAAATCTGATGGAATTCTATCTGGAGCACCTAGGAAGTACACAACCTGGATAGATCAGAAAGGACAGGGAAGTAAATACATATATTCATTCCTTTGTTATCTTGTTTAAAAATAGAAGAGTCCAAAAGGGTACTGATATAATAGTTAATAATATATATTTTAAATATTTTGCAAGGAGAAACAGTTCTATATATAAAGGATCTTATTTAATATGGTTAACATTTATACAATATATGAATTATACATATGAAAAATATTATATAATTATAATTATACATATGAAAAACAAAAAATATCAATATGAGTAACAAGTAAGTATATGTTTATCATAAGAAGATATGTTATCTTCACAGATACCCTTTCTCATTGGAGTTTAGATTTGAAAAAAAAATTGTAGTTTCAAACAGTTGTCGATTAAGATTTGTACTATAATTAATTGCAATGAAATACAATGTGCTCTTTGTGCTTGTCTGCTTTCTTGCAGTATGCAAATCGAAAATGTTCGAGTGAGTACCAGCTTTTTGAAAATACATATTTGAATGCAAAAATTCAAACTGTGAATTTTTTTTTCCAGAATCGAACTGAAACGAATGAAGTCTGGATTTGAAAACATGCTACAAGAAAAAATCTCACCAAATGTTATAGACGAAATTTTTTCTGTAGAAGCTAAAATTTATAAAAAACTAACCGAAAAACTTGGAAATGTTGCTCCAGTACCATTATTCAAATTCCTTGATGTGAGGAACTGACATTTTGTTTATTGGTTTCAATTCGATAAGTACTTTATGTGCTGTAACTCTCCATTTCAAATGTTTTTTTTATTTAAAAAAGTTATTGAAGACTTTACTGTCTTTATTTCTTTGAAATTGTGTAGCACAATTTATACTTAATTTTAAGATTTTGACTGTCTACACAGTGAAAAACTGATTATTAAATTAATAGTAACAAAATTGATTATTCTAGTATTGATGTTTCATATTTTGAAAAGAATAGGCTGTTTTAAATTTTTTAAAATCATTTAGGCTGAATATTACGCTCAGATACTGATTGGAAGCCCTGGTCAAAAGTTCAACGTAGTTTTTGACACGGAATGGCCAATTACTTGGGTTCCATCTGTTTTGTGCCCTTCGTTTCAGATTCCTTGTGGTGAGTACCTCGTCTTACGTAAATTGACTTTGATAAAAACGACTAATCCTTTCAGCATTAAGGAGGAAATATGATGGAAATAGATCATCGAAAAGCGTGAATTTATTAAAATCATATAAAATTCCGGTCGGATCCTCAAATTTGACAGGACTTCTATGGATGGACGATGTTCATGTAAGTTTAAGCTAATAATATTTTACAATATTAGTAATCATTTTTATTCAGGTAAACACGGCCGGTGTGACCAATCAAACGTTTCTCGCAGCTTCACACATTCCGTGGTCAATGGTGTTTTCAAAAGTCGATGGTGTAGTCGGCCTGGCGCCGAACAATGATGCACTGCCTAATGCTTTACCACTGTTTCAAAATTTGATTAGACAAAATAAAATACAAAAGAATATGTTTTCAGTTTATTTGAACAGGTAAATATTTCTATTTCACAAATTTGTTTAAAATAATTATATCAAATCAAACCAATTTAATTTTTTTGTGTGTTTAAATTTTAGTAGTGTATGATTATTCAGAAATCGTGAGATCCAGTCTGGTGTGACGTAGGTTTCAGAAAAACATTTTCTTTATCACGCCAACGTTTCGATCTTTATTGAGATCATCTTCAGGGCCTGGGATTTACATTGTTTAAATTTAACAAATACATGTAGGATGAGGAAAAAAGTGAATTTCTACAATGCAAAAAAAAACTAATTTTTATATTCAACCAAAGTATACTCACGCAGAAAACAAACACTTTGAGTGAGTATAAATACTTTGATTGAATATAAAAATATATTTTTTTGCATTGTATAAATTCACTTTTTTCTACATACATGTTTTTGTTAAATTTAAACAATGTAAATCCCAGGCCCTGAAGATGATCTCAATAAAGATCGAAACATTGGCACGATAAAGAAAATGTTTTTCTGAAACCTGAATCATACCAGACTGCATCTCACGATTTCTGAATAATCATCGACTAACAGTCACTAATCACCACATAATTTAATAGTGTATATGATTATTTTGCTTGCAAGTCTTCATAGAGTCAGTGGGATCTCATATTTGACACAAAGTTGTCCTAGTTTCAAATCCCATTAACCTTGGAATTTTCAAACTTAGCCACAATAATGAAAACACTAATCATCCATAATATTATGGAAAAAAACGAGCATAAAACTGTAAATATTAAAAGAGAAGAAAACAAGAAAATAGTGATTCATGTGTGGAACAAATGGCAGACAGACAAACTGATTGGAAATGACCAAGTTAAGATCTTTTATTTATTGATATCACAGAATAGGCAGGGAAAAAGTTATTGGAAATGACCAAGGTTAGGCTAAAATGATTCGAAATGATCAAACTGCTTAAGCTTAATATGAATCTTTAGATAGATCTAATTATTATTTATTGATATCATGAGGATAGACCCAAAATGGTTGTAAATGACCAAATTATTTAATCAAGACAAACATGAATCTGTAGTTAAGATCTACATAACTGTTATTTTTTGTTGGAACAAATGAGAATAGACAAAATGATAGGAAATGACCATGTTATCTACAATTCTAGTTAGTGTATTTATTTCATTTTTAGTTGATACCAGTGATGGCAGGTAGACATAAATGATCGGAAATGACTAAAACATCTATAATTCTAGATTTATATATATTTATAATTGATACAAGTAAAGATATACCAAAATGACTGGAAATGATAAGGTTATTTTATAAAACCAAGTCTGAATAACTAGTAACATAATAATTATATATATAATAATTATATTATAATAACTAATAATATAACAAATCTGAAGTTAATTTATAGTTTTTTTTACTGATATCAATGAGGATATGTGTCGGTAGACAGCACAATGATTGAAAATGACCAATTTATCTACAATTCTCCATAGATTTTTTTAAAAATTGATACCAGTGATGATATGTAGACCAAAAATGAATGGAAATGAATTTTCAGATGTTTTGAGATACCCTAATGACAACATAACTTTTATATTTCTGTTTTTGATGTGAAATAATATTTGGTAATGATAACCTATTTTTTAGTTTACAAACTCTCATCATAAATTAACAAGCCAAAATTAGTTTAAAATTGTAATTTAAATCTTATTGTATTCAATTTTTAAAGGGATCCGCATTCTTCGAAAGGTGGTACTATTCTCTTTGGTGGAATTGATCCGAAACATTACAATGGGTCATTTACTTACCTGAAGGTAGATCCAAAAACCAAATTGTGGTCGTTTATAATTAATAAGTGAGTTATACACGACGCTAAACTTTTTTACTGCTTTACTCAAACTGAAACACTAAAATTAACCACAGGATTTATATGGGAAACACCACAGTATGCAGCACAGGTTGTAACTCACTTCTAGACACGAGTTCAAATTTTATCACGGGACCTTCGAAAGATATTGAAAATTTTAATAAGTTCTTAAACACGACTTATTTAGGAGGTGGACACTATATGGCAAGTTTAATTTTTATGCATTATTCCCACAAAATGATCTTACGACGCTTTAATCTTGCAGGTTGACTGTGGCAACGTTAATAAATTGCCGCCTTTATACATATCAATGGGAGGGCGTGACTTTAAGTTAAAAGGAGAAGACTACGTACAAGAGGTGAATAGAGAAAAAAACTAATTTTTTTTACATAGTTGAATTAATGGATTAAAACCCTTAATTTGGTTTTTCAGTTGGAAATCGGACCATTTACATTCTGCCTTTCGCTTTTAGTGAGTAGCACCGACCCATTCTGGACTCTTGGGGGCGCCTTTATGTCGAGATACTATGTTACATTTGATATGGAAAATTATAAAGTTGGTTTTGCTAATGCACAATAATAATTGTTAATGTGCCGACAAAAAAATAGAAACATTTTGCAAATTGTATTTGCTTTCATCAGCCGTGATTGAATTCCATTTTTTTATTAGTTGTTTGTAGAGGCCAATGAAGAATGAAGATCACACGTTACTGTGTAATTATTTTGTATTAAATCCTTTTACCCTTTGCCCTGGCTATAGCATGCACCTTGCATTTTTTTCATTGAGAAAATTTAGCTATTCTGAAAATATAGGATATTATGCTGAGGACCATAACTACCCCCCCCCCCCACATTAGTTCCGGCTTTTCTACATTCAATCCCTCACATATACTCACAACATAAAAGCTATAATGACCTTTAATATCAGCTAGATTACAGTACATTGTCAAGCAACATTGACACAGTATTTTTAAAAGACTACTCATAGACCGCTCAACATTTGATTCTATGCACCACCTGCAAATTTTTATTGATGGGTCACTCTTGGATGGTAGGTTGCGCCATTTTTGATTACAAAAACAACTATAAAGAACAGTACGCTCTTCTTTACATTAAAAGAAAAAATAAAACCAAATTCTGCATCTTAACAGACTGTCGAAGCAGAATGTAAAAAATAGTATATGTAATATAACCCCAACCTATCAATTTTACACTTTTTCTTTACACTATTTTTGATTTATTTTTATTTTGCAACATTTATTGTTATTTATGTTTTTTGTTCATAAAAATGTAAAAAATAGAAAGCACGTTCAGTCATTGAGATACGTTCTTGGCATTTCTAGCTCTGTGCCTTACCATTCGCCCAAATTTGCTAAGTAGCTAATGACTTTTTTTAATTTAAAATATTTTTTTATTTACAAAAAAAAAAAAAAGGATAAAAATAATAGTAACCGTCAGTAATGAAGAAGCAATATTTGTTTATTGTGATTTTTCTTTAATAACATGATCCTTATAAAATTTTATCAATAGATAGGTACCAGCGTTGAACCTCTAGGCAGTTGAATTTGAAAGGGGAGCCACCTGTCGAAAAAATTAAAATTCAAGTACAGTTAATATTAAATGAATTGTCCGATGAGGATTTATTAAAACTATTGTAAGCGGACGACGGCGCGGCGGCCAAATTATCTCTCAATATTCGCTTGCTTTTCTCTAAGCGTGTCGCTACTTATTCTTGTGTAGGGGAAGTAAGGTTCCAGAGTTCAATAAACCAGAGAGCATATTCAGTAACATTTATTGTACACAATTCCTTCTCTTAACGGTACCCAAACCTCAGAATCTTAATTAATCTACAAGTCAGCCACAACTCTAAATCTGGGATGAGTCTATCAACAAAGGGACTTACCCCAAACGATGCACGCCACGATCAGTGTCCACTGCATCTCGTCTCTGACTTGGCTCTATTGGTCGCAACGGCTGGTCCTCGCTGGCTCTGGCTGGCTGAGTCCTCTTGTTGAATCCCAGATGGAGTGTGGCTGCTTCTCTCCCGGTCCTTGATCTTGACTGCCTAGGGTGAGTCTCGGATTTTGACCCAGGCAAGTCTTCCGAGGTGACTCCTGAGAGAGTCCCTGGTATGAATCTTGTATCTTGACTGACTTTTGATTTTCCAGTCATCCCTTTTATACCGGGTCTCTCCCGGAGTCTCTCTCGACGTTCCTCTCGGCGTCTCTCTTGACGTTCCTCTCGGAGAAGAAGGTCAATAGCGAGGAGGAAGCAGACGACAATGACGAGGAAGAAAAAATGGATTTTATTCCATTGTCCGAAATAGAGGCTCAGGAAAGCAGAAGTATTTAATACATTTTGCCCACGTTGCGATGTGGAGTTGGGATTATGCCTTGGAGTTTTGAAGATTTGAAATTTAGATATATTTAAAAAAAAAATTGTGTATATAGTTTTTCTCTTGTAATTGTATAATTTTAGTTATAATTGAATTATAACTCCAATAAATTATTCTTTTTATCAAAGGTTTTTGGCTAAAGCTGAAGGTCGTAGGTTTGAATCCTGCTCGTTTCACTAATTTTTCATCTCAGCAAAAAACCTTAGATAAAAATAATAAATAAATGGAATAATTAATATGGTCAATTACGACCACTAAGCAAATATGGATTAATTTAATTATAACATTGGTTCCTCCCATGCGCCGCTAGTATTTACACAGCTGAATTGACTGCCATATCAATTGCACTGGGTGAGATATCAAAACGAGACAATCCAAAAATGTAATATGTACAGACTCTCAGTGCTAAAGAACAAATTCTCCACGGACCCACTAATGCAAAAGATATTTGAACAGGTTGGCGAACTGAATAATTGAGATTGTGTAATTGTGTTCGCCTGGGTCCCGAGCCATGTCTGACTTCGGGGAAATGAGGGAGACAAGGCCGCTAAGAAAGCGGCTGCGACCCCACATGACCCCGAGTCCCCCATTAGCCCGATGGATCTAAAAACAAAAATGAAAAATTTGATTTATGTAAATGGCAGGCTCGCTGGAACGAAAGTAATAAAAAACTAAAAATACATAACAGTACGGTGAAGCCATGGCCCGTGGAGAATTTGGAAAAACGTAACAAAATAATATTAACAAGGTTGCAAATAGGTCACACCCGTCTCACGCATGGTCATTTCTTAGTGGGTAAAGTCAAAAACGCTGCCCACTCTGTGGAAACTCGGTAACGGTGAGACACCTATTAGAGGAATGTAATCAGTTAAGAGAGTATCGAGAACAGTGTGACCTATCATCTAATCTGGAAATAGTTCTTAAGCATGACAGTGACTTCAAAGATAATCTTATTAGGTACTTAAAATTGATAATTGATGGATACATATAACCAACCACACATGGTATATCTCCATTTTGCAGTGTGAATATATTTATTAGCGTGGGTGATGAGGTATGTCTGGGTGTGGCTGTGACTGAATATCGAGTAGCTCACAGGCCCGCCAAATTAGTTTAGGTAATTATATATTTATTGTGTGATGTGAGGGACAGGTCACCGCTATCAAGGTTGTAGTAATACTACCTAGATGCTGCGACCTCTACAATATGAATGTATTTATTAGCACGAATGTTTTGTGTAAATGGACGTGTATGTCGAGGAATATTGAGTACTCTACAAGCCCGTCAAAAGAAAATTAGTTTAAGGGATGATTGAAATTCTGAACATACTGTATGAATGTAAGGAAGTAACATCAGCATGAATGGAAGGAAGTTGGTAGGATTATGACTATCCTACCGACTTTTTATTTAGTTGTAGGGGCAGGACCTCAGTCGTGCACCTGTACTCTGAGTCCTGCCAACTGTAGATTAGGTAATCTTTTTCTTTGTGTGAGTGGGTATTGTATATATTGTACTGTAAATATTGAAGTATTTTTAACAAACCACATGTGAGATGGTAGGAACGAGCAACAAGACTCTTTGGTCGATAAGAAACAAAATTAAAAGAAGATTAAATGAGACAGAGATAAAGTTGAAATGAAACAAAGAAAAATGCGAAAAGCTTATATACGTGAGGCAATGACCCTAGTAGTTAGCCGGTCAAGAAAAAAACAACAACAAACAAATTGGTTCAAGTGATTCATTAGATTTATGTGTATGCTATTTGTGCGTGTGTATCTTACATGAGCATAATTTTAATTTAATGAAATTTTTTTAAATTAACATTTTTAATTATACATATCATGATATAATTTGTTGTACATAATATCAAAATTTTCAATTCATTAAATAAAAAATCCTTAAAAATAAGCATTTAAAACTTGAAAGTTATTATTGAACGTTGTAGAAAACGTCAGTTTTGCGATTTCACAAGGCATGTTATGCGGGTCACATAACTCAAATTTTCATGCGTTACGGAGGAGATAAATTTACCTCCAACCAACTTTGTTGGTTTTTCGAACTTTTAATGATAAATATGATGTTTATATAACAATTATATATTGTTATTATGTGCTTTACCAAAAAATATGTTTTAAAAAATATATCCCGTAATTGGTTTTTCAGCAAAAACAGTCCCGCATTGAAACTGTTAAATAATTTTTGGTAATCTAGGGGGGTTAAAAGGTGTCATCGGATCATTTGCTTTTTTATGAGTTTCATTTCATTTAACTTGTTATTTACCAGTTATGATGATGATGGGCACTAGGAAGTGGAGTTTTGTTAACTGAATACTGCTTCTGGATTATTGTACTTTCCCTAATTCAGTAAAATTGACTCCTTTTCTTAAGAAGTACTAGGTCATTGACTGTCATTGCTACAATTTCTTTTTCTAAGTTCTCTTTGTATTTCTGGTTATGAGGCCATTCTTCGCATTCAAAGATGATCTGAGTGGCTGCACATTCTGCTTTTTCATTGTTTTCATTTCATTTAACATTGTTATTTACCGGTTATATTAGCCATTGTAAAATAGGAATCACTGAAAACACAACGTTTTAAATAATAAAATGATGGACAGACATGGATTTGCAAGAATTATGTTTTTGTTGCATTTATTCACATTTATTATATTGTAACAATTTTATTTTATTATCCTATTTGAAATAAAATTGCATGGAAAACAAAAGTAACTATTTTTAATTAAAACTTATTATCTACATTGAAAAGGTTAAAAAGAAGATACAATGTGAATACTTTTTAAAAGAGTATATTGTTAATACTGTTTCATATTAGTTTTTATTTATTTTTTTGATTAAAATTGCAAATGATATTGTTTTTTTTATAGCATTACTACGTGTTTGTTTAATAATTAATACAAAATCAACAAATCGGCCACTATGAAAAGCTCGGTGTGCCGAATATCCATCAAACCATTAAATAAAGATTTATTTTAAATTACATCATAATCAAAATTAAATAAGTTGTTATGTACAAGGGTTAGTATTTTGGCGGAAGTTTTGGATAAAATTCAAGTTTTGGATTTTAATTAAGACTAGACCTTACAATTCAAGGTAACTTGAAACATTGACATTTTCCTCTTACAATGTCTCACAATGTTTGCTTTATTTTTTAAAATTATTATTTTTATAAACAAAAAAATAAAAATAAAAATAGCTTATTGCCTAAAAGTAGTTTCTTTTGTTTATAGGGGACTAATTCAATTTTAACAACAACAGAGCGATGTTGTACAAACATTAACAGCAGAAAATAAATCAGAGCAGCCTCATGGAGGCTCGTTTATTTGCTACATCCTGACCAACAATGAGGCCGGCTTCGTGTCTGCTTTCACCCTCACATTTTTCTTATTCAGCCACGCCCTATTGTCAAAGTGTCATTTCTCTTTTAAACTTAAGGACAAAATGAAAATTGTGATTAATTTCCCTTTTACTATTAACTTAGCTAACAATAACAGACAAACATTATTTCTAATAACACCAACAAATTTTTGCCATCAGCAAAATTTTACCATTATTAAATATCTTAATGTACAAATCTATTTATATTTATATATGTATATATTTATATAACTTACTGCTATATAACAAAGCGGAATGCACACCCTTGGAATTTACAATATTATACATTTTTCTCTTTATATATATTCTTTAATCTCAATAAAGGCTTAAGGCCTTAAGCTAGTGATAACGCACATTACTAAAAATCAAAAGTCATACAAGAATAGGATCGAAGAAGAAAAATAAAAAGAATGAAAACATATTGTACAAAAAGAACAGAAAAACCGCCACATCCTTGAATATACATATTATATATTTTAATCGATATGTAGAAACATACAATACAATTATTCACATGATTCTTTTAATTGTTATAAAATTTATTCTTCATAATGGTCAACTTGGAACTTGAAGCGAATTACAATATATAATGGAAGAATAGCAATAATATATTATTATTTCTGTATTGTCGTAAGTTATGTAATAAAAAAAAAAGAGGGCTGAATTTACTACTTTTAAAGCTGAGGCAGACAGTAAAAGAGGTAGTCAATTTGTTTTTTGACTAGTAAAGTAGATTAAATTTCAATTTAGTCTTTTTGTTCTTATTTGTTTTGTTTCATTGAATGTATAATCCCGACAGAAAACACAAATCTATGATCGTCACTTTGGCATAGACAATGTAAAAAATAAAAAGACAAACCCAAATACCTTATTTTTTAATCTTTGGCAAGCTGAACAGTCACGAGTAGAATACTTATAAAATAAACAAAAGAAAAAATAAAGAAATTTTTTTTGTAATCGTCCTATTCTATTTTGTCAAAACGCACACATACACCTTCGGTGGAATGCCAGAAACAGAGAACTAATTAGGCCTTTTACTTTGCAAAATAAAAAATTACACTTTCCTGAAAATTTGTCCTAGATCACAGACCGAAGGCGGTTGGCTCGCACAGTATATTGTCGTAAAACTTGCACCCCACCTGCCGGATCTCTCGTATTTGTTTAGGGCAGTCTCTTACACGAATTGTTCTACAAAAGACTTTTCTTTGGCCTCACTCTATCAAGACTTCCCCATCTCTGGGTCTCCACGTCGGTCAGTAGCCATGTAAAGCAAGTTGTTGAATTCCACTTCTAACAGTTCCCTTGCCTGTGGGGAGGAAGAGGGAAATGTTATTTATATGGAAAGTGTAAAGTACCAGATAACCAGAAGAGATCAACCAATCCTTTTTAAAAAGGATTGAACTCCACACTCACCCCATCATTTATGAGATCATGCATGTTTAATAACTGTCACAATTAAAACTAATTTAGAAATATTTTATTCAGAGGAATAATCTCTATATCTAATAATACTAGCCCAGTTATGCCTTTCTTGGGGACCACAGTGGCTGAGTGATTAGGACATCCGACTCGTATTTGCCAAATTAGTGATCCTAGGTTTGAATCCAGACACAGACCATGAATTTTTAAATGAAAATAATATGAAACTATTAATGAGTTTACTCCTCCTCATCCGCGACATCCAGTGGGGTAGTTGGATGTTAAGCCCCCAGTATGACAGAAATTACTTAATTTATCTTTTATGCCATTCTTATAGAAGTTTGGGTCCTGATATTTCAAAAATAAATTTAGCTTATTTTTCAGCTGTTGGCATTACAGTATAACTCCAGATTACTCATATGATTATCCCTTGCTAAGAAACGGTGAAAGTCAGATGGAGCCTGGTCTGGAGAGTAGAGAGGGGTTCTTAAGCCAAGCTTCTTCATCTCCTCCTTTGTCGTACTGGCTGTATGAGATCTCACAATGTCCTGGTGAAAAATGACACCTTTTCTGTTCACGAGAGGAGGTTAAGCGATATTAGTTGCAGCAGGCTTGAGTAGGTTTCTGCGGTGATGGTCTGGCTAAGTGGCAGGAGTTCATATCGCGCAATGTTTGCCGTATTCACCCCAAAGAAACGTCTCTGCTCTGTGCCGTGAAAGCAACACAAGGAAAATGTTGAGATGCTAAAGCTTGTTACAGTGGTCAATTTATGAGGAACCCATTTGCTCTACATCTTCCCAAGTTGAGATAAGGTTCATTAACCACTGGCTTCTTGTTTGACATGAATAAATTTTGATAGGTTCTTTCAATTTGTCATCATTCAAGAAAGAAGGTCTACCTATGGACTGGAAGGCCATGGGTATACAGTTCACAATGAGTCAAAAGTAAAAAAGGGCAACCACCAAAGTGACACTGCCATTGTTTTTTCCGAAAGGAGAAGAGATTCACATTCTTACACACCCGTTGCACACTAGGTGAAAGAGAACGAACCACACAAGAAGAGGATCATTCTTCAGCATATGCTCTGCCAGGAAAATGAGCACAGAAAATTATATTGTAACCACTTTTCGAAATCTGTGAAGTGTACAGGTTCTCGCTTCAAAAGTGAGTGCGCCAAACCTAGGGAAGAGGACGCAAAATGTGTCAATTGCTAGGAAAACTCCTTAAAAGAATAATCCCTGTTCCTCGGGCTGCAAAAACTTTACCATTCTATCAGTTCGTGTTCCGCTCACTTCACTCCACACAACAGGTGCACTGTGTGGTAGACACTACTGCTCTTTCTCTTGAACGAAATTAAGGTAAGGTACTGCCAAGATGATACCTGGGTCATTGATAAAAGACTGACATGGAACCTACACACTCACCTGAAATAACGTGACATGAACCGCCGTTACAAACTCGTACTGAGATAACTTGAACAACAATCTCACCTAACCCTTAACAGCAAACAGAAAATTTACACAACTCTCATTTGTGTGAGGGTGTGCCACAATGGCACTGATGACTTCTCCGAGTTGGACAATGAATAATAACAATAAAAAATGAAAAACTGCACTAACTTTTCTGGTTACCTGGTAATTAGAACTTTGAGAAGAGGTAGAAAAACTTACCTGCGTGTTATGGGATGGTATTTGCAATGCCATTGCCATGCTTTTATGATCGAAGCTGTCATCTAAGGCCAGTAAAGCACCATGAACACCCGATTCAGTTAAATTGCCTGCATACTCCTAGAACATTCACATATGAAGAATGAATGACCACACAGCATAAAGATGATGATGATGATGAAAGATCATATAAGGGAGTGTCAATGGCACTGGTTTAAGCACTGACACAGTGATTCATCACTATATGGTAAAGGTCCCGGGCTTGAATTTAGAACTGACATACTTACAAATGTTTTTTTTTTTAAACACTGAACCTGAAGGTGGTAAAAAAAGATTATATAAGGGTAAATGTACAAATTAGAGTTGTCTAACAGGCCCTATTTATTTACAAATATACAATACAAATATATTTTTTAAATATTATAACTATTCATTATACTTAAATAGTATAATTGACCAACAATTAACTCTGAGTTACAGAAATGGGAAAACCAGAGCTAAAATTATATAAAATTTAAATTTCTTTAATGTGATGGCCCTGAGGATAATTTTACACAAGGTGTCCTTTCTAGATGGTCTGGCGGAATTTGTTAGGAGCACATCTCTAACTTTATTCTTCGGCAAATCCAAAAACACTTTCAGAAATTTGTGTAGAGGAATTTGGAGAACATATCTCCAATTCCTTGTTGAAATTACGCTGCCAGTTTCTTAACTGATCCGAAACTCCTAATATTGTGATCAACACGAAAAACGTTTTATGGTTCACTCGGGGATGACGAGACATTGCTGGGCTAGCAATATTGCCTCTTTCAATAAAACTATCACATATGTGTGGTCATTAGTGACCGTTAATCGATAATTATTCAGATATCGTGAGATGCGGTCTGGTGTGATGTATGTTTCAGAAAAACATTTTCTTTATCGCGCCAACGTTTCGATCTTTATTGAGATCATCTTCAGGGCTCAAAGTGTTTGTCTTCTGTGTAATTGTGCCATCCTTGCGTGTCGTGTTGAGAGTGCCCAATTCACGACACGCAAGGATGGCACAATTACACAGAAGACAAACACTTTGAGCCCTGAAGATGATCTCAATAAAAGATCGAAACGTTGGCACGATAAAGAAAATGTTTTTCTGAAACCTACATCACACCAGACCGCATCTCACGATATTTGAATAATTATCAATTAACGGTCACTAATCTCTACACATAAATAATAGTGTGGTAATTAGTGACCGTTAATAGATAAATATTCAGAAATCGTGAGATGCGTTATGGTGTGACGTAGGTTTTAGAAAAACATTTTCTTTTTCGTGCCAACGTTTCGATCTTTATTGAGATCATCTTCAGGGCTCAAAGTGTTTGTCTTCTGTGTAATTGTGCCATTCTTGCGTGTCGTGGGCACTCTCAACACAACACGCAAGAATGGCACAATTACACAGAAGACAAAACACTTTGATTGGCACGATAAAGAAAATGTTTTTCTGAAATCTACATCACACCAGACCCATCTCACGATTTATGAATAACTATCACATATCTCTACTCATAGCCGACAGGAAAAATGTATTCTGTGGTTTAGTTTGACTGACTGATAAAACCTTATTGAATGTAACAAAACATTCAATTGTAAAAGTTATTTACTTTGCTTTAATGCCTTCCTTGGTGCCTATAAGACCAGTTTTGTAAACCATGATAATAACTCAATTATTATTATAAACATAGACCAGATTTTTATGCAGTAAAAATTGCCAAAATATGCATTTGAAAGCCCTGAAATATGCAATAATATGCAGTATTAATACGTTAAAATGTGCAATGATTTGCAGTTAACCAGTTTTTTAATATCACAGTAACTTTCATTGTGTGTTTTTTTTACGAGGGTACGCAACAGTATAGGTCATATAAACCCTCGGGGTTCCGGTGTTTTTGAAAAAAAAGCTCATTTGTCAGTATGTCGGGTTTGAATGCAGGGCCGCTGGTTTCGAACCCAGGACCTTTACCTTACAGTGATGAGCGCCATGTCAACAACTAAACCGTTGCGGCCACTGACGCCCCCTACTACTACTACTTTAAACAGAAATATAGACAATTAAACGAAATAGACATTAAAACTCTTTAAAACTAAAAATAATTAAAATTCACAAGTATTTAGAGTTTATTTACCTTTAACAAAAATATTTTCTTACATAATTAAATTATATATTCATACTAATTAAGTATAATTAATGTTAATAAACAAGTATTTCTGTAAATTGTCTTTCATGAAATTATTGAAAATCCCATGTGATTTTGTTTAATTGCTATACGATTCCCATATTATCCAGGTTAGCCAAGGGCACAGTTGTATTTCGTTGCTTATGGTGTATTTTTTATGGAGAAGGGGTCCACGAAAAAAAGGCCAGAGTAAAAATCGAACCCACGACCACGGAAGCCGAGAATCCAATATACTAACCACTAGTATGGTACCCTATTTGAAATTTTAAAGTTGCACTGATCCTGAAGTACCTTGTATGATTTTTGTTTACAAAAACAGAAATTTTTTGTTTAAATCTGTCCAAGACAAATTTAGCTGGGCCATCTAAAATCTACCCTATATTTGAAAGTTTGGCGACAATTCTGATTTGTACTGTCTGTTGACCCTTATATGATCCTTAAATATTGATGTATGTGTTATTTAACATTTTGAGAATTTTTATTTATAATACCTTCAAACCGATAGACGAAACCCATCTCATGACCCTTTCATTTGACCACACTAAAACGTCTGTGAGTTCGTTGTCAGAAGCCCGCCGTCGATCCTCGAGTTGCTTCCTGTCGTAATTTAATCGTTTGAGACAGGCGATTCCGAACTGTAAACTTGTTCTGTAACATTAAAATTAAAGGAATTAACAAATTTTAATTTATAGATTAACTTTTTATTAGAATCTAACCTGTGAAAACTATCTATCATTTTTAATTGGACTCTAAGGTCTTTTTTCGTAAGGTAATCTAACATCCTGGCATCGACGAGACTCTCCATAAACGTGCTTCTGTACTGAGGTAGACCGAGTGAAGGCAGCCAGACATTGCCCATCCATTCATGATTCATATCTCCAAAAGCTAAAGTCACTCTAGAAGTTTTAGGTGCTGAAGGGCTAGTAAGTGATACCATTTCCTGTATGGCGAGGCGAAGTTTCAAACGATGAAGAGGATTGCTTTAAACAGTTACAACAAATGTGAACAAAAAAAGGTAAAAATAAACGTTGACTTCTTTTATGATTACCTACCTGATGCCGATTTCCCTTTGGATTTCCGTATCGCTAAGTGCGCTCATTATCGCGCCCGATTTAACGTTTGCTCTACAAGCAGCTACATACCAGGCAGGCATTCCTACCCACAATTCGAGCCAAGCGACTATTGTCGGCCCGTTCCAAAGAGCAAACGGAGTGCCGGCTTTCATCGCTTCTGCTAACAGTCCTTGTCTTACACAACTGAAACAATTATTTGAAACATTAATTATTTATTAATAAGATTCATCTGTACTGTAATTACTTTTTATTTTTTCTTCTGTCTAAATCAGCCCTTTGTCCTATGGTCCCGAGAGTAGAACCCTCTGTAGCAAAATCTGCTTCGCCCATCGACGACGACATCGTAAAGGTCTCCTGGCTCGGAATACCAAGCCCGTCTTTGCCTTTGACCTGCCCGATTAAAACAGAAGTTGAAACAATTACTTACAGAAACGTCCAAGACTAAATTAAACAAGATAATTAGAAATAAAAAAATGTTAATAATAAAATACCTGCCGGAAGCTGTCTAACAGGCAATTAGTACACTACGAAATATAATATTTAATGTTCAAACTGTAAAACATTTCTTAAAAACTTTTTATCATAAATTGAAAATCATACTAAAACACAGGAGTGCATAATTATTTTATGTGCAATTTGAGAAATGTGAAAATGCGAGAAATGTTCTGCTAGATTAATAAAATAATTGATGTAAAATATGAAATATCAAGATTCAAGCTGTCAAGCAGGCAATTGTATAACTGTATAATAATGACTGAAAAACTGATGAATTGGCAAATAAAAAATATAAAAACAAAACCAAAACAAAAATTAGGAAGTTTCAAGGTTTCAACTCAACAAAGATATAATTTTTAAAATGAAAGTGTGATACATGAAAAATATTAATTTAACAAACAAAATTAAATTTTGTGTCTCCTACCACTTCACAAGATATGCACTCATATTTTTGATTATATGATTGTCATTATATCATAAGTTCATTACCTAAAGTCATTATCCGTACAAAATTTGTAGATTTATTACAATTTCGAGTCAACAATAAAAAAAATGAATTTTATGATTAGAATAAACTTCATCAAAAAATCTTAATGAAAATCTTTTTATCTAAATCTTTAGCTGGGCTTCCATTGCGTGAAAATCACTCATGCCACTGTTTCGCAAAACTTGAGTTATGGATATCTAGCCAGGACTGCAAAACTTTTGATGCAAGGATGTTTGGGGTGAGCGGACCAGCTGTCGGCTTTTTAGTGTGCTGCAAAGTGTTTAGTGTTGTTTGTTTCTCTCCGTGTAAATGTACTCGCGAGTATGAGAACCAGGTGGACTGCATTCAACTTATCCGAACTACCGATTATTGTGGGAAGTTAGAGATAAAACTCAACATGACAAGAACAAGAGAGAGGATGCGTGGAAGAAAATGAGCATCAAAATGGGACAAAGACGAAAAGTACCCCCCATGATAGCAAACTCTGATGCAGCAGTTGGTGTAGTTACGGCATGTTTGTATTGCTCAAACAGATGGCTCTACTTGTGTTTTGCCTTTACGTTGCAAAATGTTTTTTTAAAAATATATATAACTTTATTTAAACTTTTGTACATAGTACCTTACAGTTGTGGCATAATGTTTAATGGCATCAAACAGTTCTTGGATCTTTAAGCTCAGCAGCTCCCCCCATTAATTATTTATACATGATTTAATCTAATTTAATCACAGTTTATCACCATTAATTATAGTTAGTTATCATATCGGTGAGTCGCTTGCGCTTGAGTCTGCGGTGTGGATGTGCAGGAGATAGGTGGTCCGGTATTCATTGGATTTCTGTGTTTGGGTGGGACTGGAGGACTAGAGGAATGTCCAGGTCTCGGTGCAGTGTGGTATTTCGCACAGACCGGGGGCTCCAGTTAAAATCCATAAGGCCCTGTTTTGAAATGTCTGGATTCTCTTAATTTTGCTGTTCGAAGCTGAGGCCCAAACACCAGAGCCATATGGGTCGAATGAGGGACATATATATTAGTCTTTTGTTGCTCAGACTGATAGTTGGGTTCTTAAGTAGTGGTTTGAGGTCAATTAGTCTGCATGGTGATCTCTTTAGCACATCGCTTATGTGTTGATGCCAAGTCAGCCTCCGGTCAAGAGTAAAGCCCAGATATTTTGTGTGTCGATTCACTGATATTTTTATTATTTAGTACCAGTTGTTCATTGGCTTTTTTTTCAGATAAGTGAACTGGACTAATTTTGATTTATCTGGGTTTAGCTTGACTTTCCACTTGTCCGCCCATTCAGAGACTTGGTCAGTGACTTGTTGCAGGGTCTGTTGTACCTCTGCGCTGGTTTCCCCTGTGCTCAATATAGCCACATCATCAGCAAAAAGTGCTGTCTTGACTGTTCCTGGGATTTGGGATGAGAGATCACTCACGCTCACCAAATAGAGGAGAGGCCCCACAATGCTGCCTTGTGGGACACCAGAAAATATGGGCTTTGGGTCAGAAATGCCGTCCTGTACTTTGACACAGAAAGTTCAATACTTTTTAAAAGGATAGTTCCTACTCACAGTAAGTTGTTTTGCAACGATCCGGATTTCGAGCCTTTTAGCTCATCATCAGGTCTCTCGACATGAATTGCCAAAGTGAACCGCTGATACCTCCGCCAACGCGACGTTCCAATTATCAGCTGATTTTTTTTTGAATGACACTCAATTTGAACGTGCGAAACGTGGAAATTATAACACAAATAAATATTAGAATAATAAATACTTAATATTACTATAAATTACTATAAAAATAATAACAATTAAAATAATTAGATTAATTATTTGGATGTTTGATATTATTTATGTACATATTTAAAATGGGAGGTAGATCAAAATCTGTTATATTATTAATGCATTTATCACCATGTTCAATTTTACATTTTTTCATTTCAAATTTCTCAAACCAATCTAGTTCTTTCCCTTTGTTCAAACTATGTAGCATTCTTGTATTTGAATTGAAATTATGTTTTGTTTCTTTTAGATGGTCCTTAAATTCCGAAAATTTGCTCTATTTAGGCAAGTGTTCTTTTACTCTTGTTTTTATTTCTCTACCGCTTTGTCCTATATATTTAATATCACAATCATTACAATTGAGTTGGTAAACCCCACTTTTTGCCAAGTTGTCTACTTTGTCTTTAGGTTTTGAGAGGATGTTTTTAAGTGAATCCGTACTTCTAAAAGCTATTCTAAAACCTTCTTGTTTAAAAATTTGACTAACTTTTTGCGATACTTCACCAATGTATGGCAAACAACGGAAACCTACTGATTCATTTGTGGTGGGGTGACTGAGTCCTATTGTTGATTCGTTTAAAGTTAATTTTTTTATTCTTTTAACTAGCAACCTATCAATAAATATTTCTTGATACCCGTGCTAAGGTTTTAATAGTTTTTAATTCTTTTTTATAGTTATCAGGTGTTAGCGGAAGTTTTAACATTCAGTCTATGAGCCAAATGAAACCAGCAGCCTTTTGGGACCATGGGTGGGAAGAATCCGCTGGTATCATAGTATATGTAGTTGTAGGTTTTCTATATACATCTATTTCAACTAGGTTGTTTATTATGGACAGTTTTAGGTGTGTCATTTAGCTTATAATGGCCAAAAGGGGAACTGCATCTAGCAGACCAAAATGATCTGACCAAGTTCCATTAATCTTATAAAGAAACCTCACAAAATGGACATCTTAAGATTTTATTCAAATGGAGAAAGTTCTTTCTGACAGGTAGGAAAGAATATAATGTTTTGTCTTGTGGAAATGGTTAACCCAGATGGTGTTTCACGATTCTCACATTTAGATGTGCAAAAGATTTTGGTGTTTAGTTGAGCAAGTGATTTTTTCATGCAATGGAAACTCAGCTTTTAGATTCAACATGAAACACCCTCGGTTAATGCATTGTCTAAACAAAATACGAATATAGGCTGGCAAGTTATGATTGGATTTAAATGCAGTTTAGCTTTTTGATCTTCAATGGTTAATTTGAGATATCGAGTTGTAATGCTGCACAAGCTTATAATGGTAAAAAGGGGAACTGCATCTAGCAGACCAAAATGATCTGACCAAACTCCATTAATCTTATAAAGAAACCTCACAAAATGGACATCTTAAGATTTTATTCAAATTTTATTGAAAAAACAGCACTGTCATGCACAACAAATAATCTAATAAAACTACCCCAACTTTCAATGAATTGAAAACTATTCAAATACACAACTTTTCATTTTGAATTATGTTTACATTTTAAAGTTTTTGGTCCTTTGTATTCAGAGTATCAATACTTGGATACATCCTCCCGTATCTTCAAAACTTTAGTTTACTGTCAATGGAAATATATGTAATTTTATGCTAGGAAAGAAGATGAATTTAAAGCCACAAAATATTTGAGCCGATCATAAGTTTCTGAAGTTGAAGTTCATTTAAACATGAAAGTTATTTTCTGATGAATTCAAATGTATCTAAGCCTTCAAGTTTTTCTTACTAAACTTAAGAAATCAAAAAGGTTCAAATATCAGGTCATAAAATAAGTCTGTAGTGTTTTTCATTCAATAAAAATTGAAAGTACTTGTAAACAAATTTAATCATCAATATGTGAACTATTTTGTTCCATATTGTTGTCATCTTCCATGTAATTTTGTATTTCTGTTCTCCCAGAAATTAAGTTTTTCCCATTAATAGAATTTAGCAGAGATCAGGATAAAAAAATCTGAGGGGTAATGTCAAATGAATATAGTGGGTGGAGACTGGGCTAGCACATCTCAGCCATGCTCCAACAATTTCTAGTGCTTTGCCTAAAAATACGAGTGTTGCCTTGGAAGTGTCTGGGAAGAGTTTTTAAATATTTTTATTTTAGAGCAACTGGTGACGTTTTACTGCTTCAATTGTGTACTTAACTAGAATTAACGGTTTGGTTGGGTGGAAGAAGCCCTTCCAATCTGACAAAACGGGATTTAATAAGACTTTTGAAGTTAACGGTGGGTCACTTTGTTTTCCCAGGAATTCCTCTCTTAAGATTGTAGTAAAGATTCACTATTCATCTCGTTACCAACTTTTTAAAAACGGGAAGTTTAGATTGCGGTTTAGAAGTAAATTGCAAATGGAGATGCGATCCAATAAATTCTTCTGATGAGAGGCTTAGTTGGTGGACGGTGTGAGGCTTGGCTCTTTTCCGTCAGTTATTCAGTACACACACATTTTTCTCTCTGGCCGAGCAACATATTAACTAATCCATTTTAACCGTGTGTAAACAATAATTACTGAATAAATATTGCATCAAAATGCAAGTGAAATAAAATTTAAAAAATGAAAAACACTACAAACTTATTTTAAAAGCCTTTATTAACTAATTTGATTAAAAATCACAATTATTGATAAATGCTAAGAATTAAGAAGAAATGAACCGATAGTTAAAATGAGTAAAAATAGACAATTTAATATCAGATATAACAAGAAGAAAAGTACATGTGAATCCATGCGAATAGAGTAAATTGGTGATATATTCACAAAAGGAAAACACTTTTTTGAAAAGTGTTGTTATTCAATTTTTTTATATTTTTTTTATATTTTTAAATCAGCCAAAGCACTATTTGATAATTCTTGCAAAATACAATTATGCTTGGAGGAGAGGGATCAGAAATGCCAGGGGTAATCATTGACGACGACCATATCACTGAGTCACTGTGCAACTCTCATTATTTGAAACTTCAAATTTATGCTTTCAAAATTAATTATTTCTTTAAAAATTTACACCAGAAACATAAGAGGTTATTTGTTTATGTCAAGTTTCACACACACCACAAAAAAAATAAAATAAAAAAATAAATAAATGAATAAATAAAAAATATTGTTTCTGTAGTTTCTTGTTCTGTTGTCAAGCTCGCCTTTTCACAAATCATCAGTGGTGGGCCTTATAGTAGGGACTTAGTTGAAGAGAAATGACACAAACCCACGACTGAAGATGGTGAAATGCCAAAACATGTCCGACTGGACAAAACGCCAAGAATGGGCATACCAAAATGACCAGAAATGGCCAAAATATTTTTGTGATAACTGATAGTATATAAAAAGCTAATAAATAACTGATAATAAAATAAATGAAAACAATGATGAAAAATGTTATGAAATGACTATCGAAAACAGTTTTGCAAGAGTAATAAAGTGTAACTTACTTAAATTATGTTAGTTCTAGGTGGAAAGAAATTACCTTTTCTTTTTTGCTGAAAAATCTCCCTAAAGATGATTTTATCCCCTTCTTCTGCTTGTGCTGCTGCGCCGCTGAAACGCCTGCTGGTGTACTGTAGGACTGCGACGCCTGAAGCATTCCACCGCCGGCCAACGAAGCGTGCTTGTGCAACGAGTCCTGGGAGCTGTGCCGAGAAGACAGTGGGGAAGGAGGTGTTGAAAATCCACTTGGCCTACAGACACATACACACCCCTACTCTACAGACTACACGTCTACGACTACAAGCAAATTTACAGGCCACATAGCCTAGCTTGTATTAATTCCATGTAATATTTCAAACTATGTGTCTTTTCTTCATTCAGCTTCAACTTCTAAGTCTATAATTTTAATTTTTAAACATATTCCAGTTGCATTTAATTAATTTATATAAGGCTTTTACTAATCACTATAGAAGAAACTATATCTATTTTTCTATCGGTCAAGCTCATAATTACAACATGAAACTAAGGGAAATTAATTATAATAGGGAAGAAAATAAAAATAATAACACATAATTTGAAAGATAAATTATTTACATATCAAATGATTGGAAAGTTAAGAAAGATAAATTTATCGCATTATGTACATGTTATTAGGGTTAGTATAAGATAATGTATATTAGAGAGGTTAAAAGCACAGACAAGTTAAAGTATACAGACAAAATATACAGTTGAACATAGAGATTTCCAGAGAAATGTATTAGTATAATTTTGAGCAACAGTGACATAATCATTTTTTTATGATCATCAGCCCTCCTTTATATATTAGACCCAAGTTAACGTAATTAACTGTTACTCTTAACTTAATAATAATAGCATAATAAATAAAAGTCAGGATATAAGGATAGTTTCTCTTTGAAAGATCAACCTTTAAATATGATTATGAGTGGTATAAAATTGAATTATGTAAGGTTATATGCTTTTCTCTTTTGTTGACTATGTTCAATTATCATTTATTTGGACACTAAGAAGTAAAAAAGAGGTTTTCTAGCACAACACAAAAATTCTACAAACATTGATTTCACCATCCATACAAGAGAATTGATGGTTTAGTTCTTGCCCTCCCCACAAAAATAAAATATTTTATTCAGAAATCGTGAGATGCGGTCTGGTGTGAGATGTGGTGTAGGTTTCAGAAAAATATTTTCTTTATCGTGCCAACGTTTCGATCTTTATTGAGATCATCTTCAGGGCCTGGGATTTACAAACATTGTTTAAATTTAACAAATGCATGTACGATGTGGAAAAAAGTTAATTTATACAATGCAGAAAAATATATTTTTTATATTCGATCAAAATATTTCTACTCACTCAAAGTGTTTGTTTTCTACGTAGTAGTTGAGTAGAAATACTTTGATCAAATATAAAAAATATATTTTTCTGCATTGTATAAATTAACTTTTTTCCACATCGTACATGCATTTGTTAAATTTAAACAATGTTTGTAAATCCCAGGCCCAGAAGATGATCTCAATAAAGATCGAAATGTTGGCACGATAAAGAAAATATTTTTCTGAAACCTACGTCACACCAGACCGCATCTCACAATTTCTGAATAATATATTTAAAATTTAATTTAAAAAATAGTGACTAACGGTCACTAATCACCACATAAAATATTTGGTCTAATTTTCTTTGTAATCATTTCTGATTTTGATAATTGAGAATAAACCGGATATAGCATTAAAAACAAACATTCGGGTTGTGATAATTTGGAGTTTCTGCCATCATTGGGCCCTGAGGCTAATCAATTTTATAATTATTAAGGAAGGCAGAAAGTGTTACCTGTTTGGCATGTGATAGAGAGCCAAAGCGTGATCTGGGAGAGCCATTCTATAACAAAAGATTTTTTTTGTTTGATTTTTAAAAAAAATGATTCCATGGCCAGAAGAAGACAGTCATATCGCTGTACAATTTTAAATTTCAAGGAAAAAGGATTATGTGTCCGTTTTCATGACAAACTGTAAGGATTATATTATGAATTAACATCCTGTCTCAAAATTTACTTAGTGGAAACGGTTGATTTTTGCTAAGAAAAACGTACTAATTCTCCACTGATTATGCCACTGTCTTATGATTAAGGGATTACATGATTAAATTATGAATAAACCTCACCTCAGGGTCGCTTGCCCATAGCCACCGGAGGGAAGCGAGTTCATGCCAGTCTTTCTGCACAAGCCGACAGCCAAGCACAAAGCAAAGCATTCAAAGTTAGTAATTTAAAACAAAAATTAAGGTTATTAAAGTTTTGCCTAGGTTAAAATCGCAATAAATTGTATTTAAACAGGTTTTTCCTTGAGCTCAAAGCACAATTAAAAAATCTAGTAAATTGAACAAATTTTAAAATCAATAACTAGTAAATGAATCCATATTTGTTTAGTGATAATTGACCACATTAATTATTCCAATTAATTATTCTTTTTATCTAGGGTTTTTGGTTGAGATGAAAAATTAGTGTCACTCAATTTGAATGGTTGTAGGAGATTGGTGTCTAAAGGGATCAAAGTCATGATAGCTCAAGTGGTTAAGAGCAGTGGCGTATTGAGCCGAAGTTCGTGGGTTCGAAACCTGCTCGTGACACTAATTTTTCATTATTTTAATTGGATCAATAACTAGATTTAAAAAACGAAATTTTCTTCCAATCATTCTGGTCTGTCAGACTCGATTTGACATTAACCGTGTTCAGTGCTGGGCCTATGATTCCTATTTAACCAAGACAGACCCAACACTAAATATGACAAAATGCCGAAAAGCATCTGACAGAAGAACACAGCGAGGATTGGCAGACAAGGATGATCGGTAACGACCAAATTTCAGGTTCATCACCCTGCAGACCATTTAGTGAAATCTCAAAATCAATATATTTACTATATGAACAATAGTATGATAATATGCAAGTAGTAGACTAAAAAAAACCTTGTTATAAAAATCACAACTCGACCTCGGTTGTTATATCGCATTGTGAGTATAAACGAGGTCTTTTATGTATTTTCAAATGCTTTTGTTAAACATGCAAAATTATGTGGGATTGTTTTGTCCAAGTGGGATTTTTAAAAAAAACTTTACCTTCTAAGTTCTTCCTGGCTGTGAGCGAGCGCTTGAGCTACTCTTTCAAGACGTAAAGTTCGAGCAGTTAGAGGGCTGGCAGCTCCACTGCTTTCACTCGGAGCGCCGCCAAGCGATTGAAGCTCATCAGAAAGTTCACTTGACAGTTGTGCCAGCTGTAACTAGCCAAAATTGACATAAATGAATAATATATTACAGTATAGTGCAATCAATACACAAATTGCTCTCCAATACTGAAAAAAAAGAAAAGAAAAAAAACAAAAAACTAAACAAAGCTTTCTCTTATCCGACATTCCTTGGATACAGAACTGGGATTTCTGAACTATTGTTTCTAATCTTGTCTCATTGTGTTCATATTGTGCATTTGCTTATTATGTGTTTAAAGCAGTGATTACTGTATTGTGATTGAAGCAACGAGTAAAGTGTATGGGCAGGCAATTATATTATCATTATTAATGTTATAACAAAATACAGTTCTACAATTTACCAACTTCTACATTTTTTCCTTCTATTTGAAAACAAACGGATCAACTTTCTATGTCAAAACCTGACTTTTTACATACTAGCTTTTGTAAGCGATGCTTTCTAGACCAAAAAAATATATAACCAAAATATAAAAAAAGCATAAGTGTGGAAAGTACAAGGAATCCTCATTGAAGCGATCTAAACACTCAGTATGTGCCCAAGTTGATTTTGGTCAATAAAGTTATTTTACAAATAAGTGAATCACATAGTTAATCTGTTTCCTCCATGATAGAATCTTAAAACACCTCTTGAAGACCTTTGTTAAATAAATCTCAGCCCTCCGAGAGGTTTGGCGATATTTTTGACCAGAAGCCCCCCAATTTCAAACATACGCATGCAGTGTGTTTTGTACAAAAGAAGAATGTTATTTATTTTTCAACTCGAGCCGTGTCAGTAACATCTGAGCTCTAAAGAGGATAGAACAAAACACAAACAGCACACACAAAAAAATCTTATTTATAATCCAATTGTTACAACGCAAACTAAAAGGTTTAATGCAGTCAAGTACAATGTTAAAACAGCACAAATAAAAATAAGGAAAGCCTCATGTATAAGCTAAAGAAATCTGCGAAGGTTTTCAGGTTCAAGGCATCAGAAATCAGGATTTCATTTACAAAAAATAAAAATAAAAAACCTCTGAAACTTTACAAATGTCACCTGAATTCTATTTTTTGATTTTATTCAATATAAAGCAAATGAAAAGAAATCTGTTTTTCACGTTCTTTTCATGTGCTTGAGTATGTCTTGTTGACCAACCTGGCTGGCAGGTAGAGATTCTGATAGCTGGCTTGGTGAGACAAGAGTTGTGGCGTACTGATGCAGGTGAGCAGGCGACATTGACGCTGGCGCCTATACACAATATACCAATCCATTTGATACACAAGTGTCTCTACTCAAGCTAACATCTTTCCTTGTATTAAAAAATACAGTGTTTTTCAACAAAACAATTTTTTTGTGAAAATAAAAATATGACTGCATTAAAAAATAAACTACGATTCTATAAGATCTAAAGTAATATTCTTTACAATGCAAAAAAGTTATCTGCTTTTTATGATCCTTTATTGTAAATTTGGTTATTTAAATGGAAATAAAACAACCATATATACTCAACTACAGAGGTGCTTAGGATAAAAGTTTGTGGTAACATTTAAACATATAATGCCAAGGAAATAAGGAGAGCACAAGTTGTAACAATTGATTTAAAAAAAAAAAAAAAAAAAAAAAAAAAAAAAAAAAAATTGTACTTCTGTGTTTTATGCAAAGCGATAATTTTGTTTGGATTTATTGTAATAAAATTGGAAAATCCTTTAAATTGTTAAAGTAATGTCGAGTTAATGATTTATTCGAGCATGAAGCATGTTAATTGGACGTGTTATAACCACTTTCACAAAAATGTATTCTCCTATAAACAATGTCTTCTGGATAACTGTCTGAAATATTACCTTGAATATTTTATTAACCCTCGGTGAGTTAAAATCTGATTTAAACTAAATGCATTGAATGAAAATTGCAAAATGCGAAAATGTATCTGACAGGCGGACTATCTGATAAAGAATTGGTAATGGCAAAATTACAGGCTCATCACTCCACAGACATAGGAGGAAATCTCACAAAATAGACTCGGTGGTAGAAGACTTGTATTTGTATGGGTTTGTCGTCTGACCATATGTATAGCCTAAGTCGATTTTGTAGTTATTCTTTTTAAATGTCATTATCCTTTTTTTTAAATGAAAATTAATTTAACCGTGTATTAAAAAAAAGGATATCTTATCAAACGTGTTCTTTTAATTTAAGGATGCAGGCTTTATCAGAAACTCTTTCTTTTATTAATTAAGGTTTTTTTAGGTTTTATTTATTATTTTAAATAGAGCCTATAAGGAAAAAATGGATGATCGGACAGGTTGGCCATCTGTGGTTTTAGTGCACAATCAAGCCTCAAAGGGAAAAAAACCCGCCCCGCATAACTTGTTATGTTAGTATTTTTTTTTTATTAAGGTTTTGCGGTTGAGATGGGAGGTTGGTGTCCGAGTGGATAGAGGTCACGATAGCTCAAGTGGTAGAGCAGCGGCATATCAAGCCGAAGGTCGTGGGTTCGAATCCCGGTCGTGCCATTGACTTTTTTATCTCAACTAAAAAACCTTAATTAATTGTAATATATTAATTGGTCAAGCGGACCACAAAATTAGTGAATCTTTCTTTTATGGTGATTTGTAAGCTGACATAAATCATGTTCATGACTAAAAATCAATTATTTCTGCTCTGACTTCAATAGGCCGACCCAATTGGCTAAAACAAATTTAGAAACATTAAAAAAAAAAAAAAAAAAAAAAAAAAAAAAAAAAAAAACATCCGTCCTACAGTTTCAACATAAAAGGATGAAAATTGGAAGTGGATGCTTCAGAAGCATTTTAACCTTTGAGTGTTTGTGCTGAGATAGTTTTGTACTTTAGAGCGTTTTTTTCTTATAACTTGCAGAGTGCGCAAAACTGAACCCCCTAGGCCTTGTTCTATTTTAAATAGAGCCTATAAGGAAAAACTGGATGATCTGACAAGTTGGCCATCTGTGGTTTTAGTGCACAATCAAGCCTCAAAGAGAAAAATCCCCGCCCCGCATAACTTGTTATGTTAGTATTTTAAGTATTTATTGTAATACTTTTTTCTGTCTATTATTTCTTGTTTTATTAATCTTACATATTTTAAGTGGCTGCATACATGTTTAAGAATTGTAGACAGTACAGAGATCGGGATTTACACCATGAGCTACAGGGAGTTTCTTTTTCACCTCAGATGTCCTAGTTTCAATGATTTGAATTCTCGTCAAGAGAAAAGAGAAAAAAAAATTAAAAAAATTGGTGGGGATACATGATATTTTGAAATACTTTGTCAATAATTGTATATGGTTGCTTGCTGTATACTTTTCAAAAGAGACTATCATAGATTCAGCGTATAACAGAAGAGGATAATAATAGCTGAGACTAGGTTTCAGACGACAATAATGAAGAAGAGGAAGATGCTGTAAACTAATTTTTGAAGAATATGAAGATCTCTGGGTTTAAACTGTGAGGTTTTTTAGGTAAATTCAAAAAGCTTAGTTCCAGCAAAATCAGCTGAATCCAAATATGTATTTAGTAGTCATAACTCGGATGGTCTGAGACCCTGATTGTCTTTATGAAGTAATCATTTATTCATTAAAAGTCCCTATTATGTTAAGGTGATAATTTATTTTCATTTTAATCAGTTTGTATAATTATGCTTGTATGAATTAAAAATAAAGACAATAATAATAGTAGTAGTCATAATTTACCATACCTTTTTTAACTAAGGTATTGGTTGAGATGAAAAAGCAAATGTCATGAGTGGGGCTCGAACACACCTTCGGCTCGATATGCCGCTGCTCTAATCACTTGAACTATCGTGACTTCGATCCGCACACCAACAAATACAAAATTATGGCAAAAGAGGGAAAATTGAAAAGATGTCTGAGTGGTTCGAGCAGCGGTGTATTGAACCAAAGGTTGTGGGTTTGAATCCCGTTCAAGACAATAACTTTTTTATCTCAACCAAGACCTTAGATAAAAAGTATAATGAAAAGAACTATTGAGTTTAATTTTTTTTACATTAACCCTTTTAAAAGATTTTTTGCTATATAGGGTTTTAACTTAGTAAATAATATTTTGGTTCATTATTCAATGCATTCAACTTTAACATGGAATAAGTGACAGCAATCGAAACTTGTTCTTTTGTAAGCTAAACTTTCTTTTCATCAAAAAGTAACATTACTGACAATTTTAAAACTTTAGAACTCTCTTGTTCATTTTAAGAACAAAATTAATTCTTAATTTGCTTGAAGGCTCTTTAATGGTAACAACAATGAAAATGAGGTGTCAGTGGTCACAACGGTTAGAGCGTTGCAATGATGATTTCATGACAAATCATCATTTTAGAGATCCCAGATTTGAATTCAGTGCCGCAGGATTTGAACCTGGGACCTTTACTTATGACTAAGCCGTTGCAGCCACTGGCACCCAAAAGCTGAAATCCTTACTAACCAGAGTAGTTACAAATAAACCAAATATAAAAAAATGTGTATTTACTGTCTTTTTTTAGCATTTTCTTAAAAATGACATTTTGGAACCCATTGCCTTAGCTATATACTGATTAATTTAATTAAATACATAAAAATAAATTTAAAATATAAAATGGCTTTGTATTGAAGCACTTTTAAATTAAATTCTCATGTTGTGATAAGAAGTATGATTAAAAGTATGTCTGAAAAACCACACCAGAGGTGTTTTTTTTTAATTTATTAAACAGGTCTACTTTCAGTCAGGGGCAAGACCACTTTTATTGTTGACTAGTTTGTTACAGAACCCAATGTGTTAATGTAATAAACAAAATAAGCAACATACTACCATAAAATGTTTTTCATAAAAATTAAAACTAATTAAAATGAAAACATAACTTACAGTGTGATATTTGTGGAGGTAGTCTTTATGAGGTGATTTTGGAGTCGACCTCCCAGAAAGAGGCGGAGAACCTCTTTCCAGGCTTCGACTACGAGCGACTAAATTCATATGTTCAAGACTTCCGACTCGTGACTCGAGTTCTTCCGCTCTTGCTTCTGTGCTCTGCTTCTCTTCCTGTATCAGTCTAGAAAAAAGCAGGAAATGTAAAACCATTTAAAAACATTCCAATAAGAAATGATTTGTTTTACCTGATTTCATTATTAATGGCATCAAGCTGTTCTTGAAGCATCAGAGCAAGAGTCTGTGCATCTGTGTGACCTGACGGCGATAGAATTTCAGCGGCGCTGAACAAAGAGTCGTTATCATCGCCTTCGACATCGCTACAGTCATACACTTGTTGCACATTTCCGAGAACATGCTGTTGTTCCAATTTTTCCCATTCCTGTTTATGAGAATGAACATTTACTATAACATTTTCAAATGGTAATGATTCAGCAAACCTTTGCAGGGTCGTCTTGGAGAAGGCGCGACTTGATAGCTCTTCTCGGAAGAGAATGCGTGTCAAAACTCGTATGACTTGTACTATGAACAAAACCGGTCGGATCAGCTGAAGGCGAAAGACTCCTGAAATAAACAGAACATTAAAAAAAACGTTTAAAAATATTTTAATTGTATTTTTTATACCTTGTCAAAGCGTCGGTTTGCTGAATATTGAAGGCAATTTCCTGCTGGAGCATCTGCCTTTTTACACTGTCAATTTCCAGCCTTGCCTTATTCAGCTCTTTCACAATTTCAGACTAGAAGGAAAAGAAAAACATTAAAATTTTGATAAAACTAAATTCTACCTGGACAACACCTTTTCTATTTGTTGTTCTTCTAATATTTTTCTTGTTCTTTCTAGCTCCTGCGTCAAGGCATTTTTCTCTTCTAGCGCATGCATTCTTTCTTTGAGATGAACTTGCAATCGTTCATTGGATTCTAACACATTAAAAAAAAAAATAAACAAATTAAATAAAATATCCCATAATATTTTAAATATATAATTTTGGCTGTATATACTGAACAATAACGATATACTTTATTTATTGATGTATGCCATTATGTATTTTACATGTTAGATGTTTGCTGAAGAAACACTGTGTACAATTATTTAAAAAAAAAAAAAAAAAAAAAAAAAAAAAAATAGAGTGGATTGTTCATTGTTCAATCCTACAACAAGTGGTTTAGAATATTCACAACTTGTATTTATTATTATACACTGTTTTCTTTATACATGTAAACACAAGAAGAGGGGGCCCAACAATTTACCTGCCAGCCCGAGTATCATCTTTATGTCAGGGTTCATACCTACTCGCTCCCAGAAGAGAGACAAAGAATGACAATCTTCGATCAGATGTGGCACACTGAGCAACCATTCTCTACAAACCGGGCACCTGTACAAGACAGAATAGCAGGTGTCCGTGTGTTAGCATGATCTTTTCATTTTTTTTAGACACTTGGAAGGCCATCCAGTCATGCTTTTCCGTCCGATGGGGTACTCAATATTCTGTCATCAGCCCTCTCATTATTTGCATAATTTACATAGTACATTGACTTAGATTTTTTGATAATACGAACTCCTCAGCAAGTCACTTTGGTAAATCAAAAAATTCTTTGAATTTGATACACTTGGTAATACAAAATATTTTTTGTACCAGGGGAAGAAAGAGCCAATTTCGCTCTCTATAATGCTATAATTTGAACTTTTTCTTCCTTTATTCCTCTAAATTTCCTTACAGCCTAAAATTTCTTTTGAATTTTCTCTAGTTTGAAATGTTTGGCAGTCAGTGTTTCACAACACTCGATACCCTTAAGAAACAGATCAGGAGACCCAATGTGCCCTCCTAAGTACCATCTTTATGTCCGGATTTATGCTTACTCGCTCCCTGTAAGGGACATCAAGGCACTCTTCGATCACATGTGACAAACTGAGCAACCTCTACAAACAGGACACCTGCATGAGTTTTGAACAAGACAACAATTTCTTTTAAAACTCAGAGAGCCATCATTCAGTCCTTCTCCTAAGAGTTTCTCAGACTACTCGGCCCATTGACAGTGCCAATGCTTTTTCACATTCTTTACTGCTTGTGGGGCCAGAGTGTAGTAGTTCGATCTAGACGGCGGGAGGGCTTTGCCACCTCATCTGCGTGTTCGTTGCCCTTCAGCTGCCCAGTGTGTTTGGGTACCCAGACAACTACCACTTTTTTTCCGAGACACTGCAGTTCAGCATATCTCTAAAACAGCATGATGAGAGGGTTACTCTGAATCTGTCATGAATTGTTGATAATATGCTCAGGGAGTCGGCAAAGACGAGGAAGGCCAGGTCTAAAACTGGCGAGGTATGGTGTGCTTCGTGTTTAACGGTATGCTATCTGACACATGTCTTGGGGTGAGTTGATGAAGGCTCTCGTTCGTTGTTCTATGAGCAATCGTATATTGATGTATAGAACAACTGTATAGAATCAAAACATACTAACATAAATTTAGTTTAATGATCTATCTCCTTATACAATCCATTTATAATTAATTTGCTCCTTTTTGTATATTCCAGGATTAATTGAATTTTGCATTTGAGGTAACATTATCAAAATAATAATTATAAATTTATTTCTTTTGATTTTATTTGACATTAAGAAATAGGATTAACTAACCTGATAGTAATTTGTCTACTGTTGAAGATAGCCTTGTATTGTGCTCCTCGTTCATTTTCAGTCTTTGATTCAGCCTAACGAGCTCGGCGTTCTTTTCGTCCACTTCCGCTTGAAGTCGTTGAATCCTATCTTCAGCCGTGCCATGCCTTTCTTGGGCCTGTTTTTGTTTTTATGGACAAAATGAAAACAATGTCGATCAACCGACGGAATAATATCAGTACAGCACAAAATTTAAAAAACCTGCAGTGATGTGTATTTTTGGATAAAATTATAAATAATATTGTAAGAAGGTGATATATTAAATCAAAATGTTAATGTTGATATTGATGGGAGTGTATGGATAGTCATTATTTTGTGTAGTGGCAGGCGTGAATTTATCTCTGCCTACCTGATCCCTCACCTGGCTCAGTGCGGCCATTCTTGCCCTAAGCTCTTCCTCCATTTCGGGCAATTTTGCGAACTGCGCTAATTTCTGTTCGCACAATTCTAGTTTCTCTTGAAGGGCCCTAATTTTATCCTCTTGGAGCTAAACAAAACAAAATTTTTTATTCAGCTGTGACGGTGGAAATAAATAATTTAACTCACTTTAATTTGAGCTTCTTTGTGCTGTAATTCTTGTTCTAGTTTTTCATTAAGATCGTGCAATGATGTCGATTCTCTTTGGGCGCTTAAATACCGCTTTTCCAAAGTTGCTATTCTTTCTTCCTGAAATTGGAAAACAAATTAATAAAATTCAAAACAACATGAATAAATGATTAAAAAATACTTGATCTTCTTTCTGGGCCACATTTTCCCTTAGATCCCTTTGTAGTTTTGAATTGGAATCTTGAGTTCGACTCAATTCTCTCTGTGCCTTCGTTAAATTATCCTCGAGTTCAGCCACTCGGCCAGTGAGTTCGCCTACTTTTCTTTCCCACTGCCTTTGGATTTCGTTGTTCTGGAGAATAAAAAAGTAAAAAAAATTATTCAAACAATATAAACAGATCTAAAGTCACACTCTAAAATCTTATATTCAAAGGACTATATCTGTTGATTGAAAATGCAACTTTCAGCCCGACTGTATTTTCAGACTTACCATACATGATTGAACTGGCTGGCAATTCAATGTAAATTTAATTAAATTGAAGGTACTCATGCTTATTGTTGTCAATGAATCAGTGCTAAATAAATGTAAAACATTCTGAAATAAAACTTAAATTTGAAAAAAATAAAACAATTTTCTTTGATCTATTATTACATGCAATTTTTCTTTTAAAATTCCCCACTGTCCACATTTATCTAAATCTGAATCTGGCTATTAAAATGTTTTGTTTTAAGGTATTTGTCATAATACGTGAATACTAGGCAAATTAAATTAATAATTGATAAATGACAGTTTATAGACAAATACAAATCTTTTTCCAAAGCATAACTGATAAGAGAAATAATTATTTACTTAAAAAAATAATCAAATTAAAAAAAGTATATATTTTTATTTACAAAATATTTGTAATTTTAAGGTTTCAAATGCATGGAAAATGAATCTCTATCACTAAAAATTATATTATTTTGTTGGAACGGATGGCACGATTGGATAAAGGGGACATGCACATCTACAAGATCATTCTTATGTCAGATTATAAAAGTTACTTACACTAAATCTGAGTTTCCTGACATCTCACCATATATAAATAAAATCTTATTAGGCAGAAGCCTTTTGTTAAAAATTTTACAAAGATAAAACGAATAAAAAATAAAAATAAAATAAAAAAATAAAAATAGAACTAAAGAAGGACTTTTGATTTAATGAATGAAGGGAATGTATTTTCTCACTTAATTGTTAAAGCATATGATAAAGAAAAGTTCTTTCGTTTTTACCTGTTTCTCAGTTGAGACTTGTGGTTGCTTTTCGGGAGATTTTGGCTTTTCAGAATCCGTTTCGATCGATCCGTTTGTCACCGGCTGTTTTCAACACAATACAACATCAACACACCAAACACACAAGAAATTACACAAAATTATTGTTTTAAAGCGCTATCAAATTTAACATTCAACAAACTAAAAGTATTTATATTTCATGAGTTTCGGTATGTCCTTTCATGATAGTTTTATGGATCATGCGATTGAGATTTTGACTGAGTTTCGGATAGGGGGAAAGCTACATTGTCATCCATAGGAACACACACTAAAACAAAACTAAAATTGTGCCCAAAGAATAGTTGAAATTTTGGTAATAAAGGGAAGCTTATTCCAATAAAAATCTATCTTCAAGCATTCAAAGAATCAAAGAATTTACAATATCATTAATAGTTTTGTAAATTATTTAAATACATTCCTGTACTTACTTGAATTGCCTTGACCGTTTGTTGGTTGTTTTGATTATTTTCGTTTGATTCTTGCGAACCATTTTCTATTGGTTTCAGTTCTTCCCCACCTGAAGGGATATTACCTAATTTGTACTGTTGCAACTGAAAATATAAAAGACACGGTATGGTAAATGCCAAAAATTTTTTATAGTATTTTATATAGTAATAAAATCCAACCTCTTCTTTGGTGTTAGCTAATTCTTCTTCTAATCTTGTATTTTTATCTATCGCTACTCTCAGCCTTTCCCGTACCTGAAAAAAGTATCAAACACGACTCGATTAAGTTGTATGTACATATAATATACCATACAAATTATTTTTTTAATTTCCTCCTGGATTGATAGATTTATTGATTATATTATATTCTTGATCTGGATCAATGAAGGGAAATAGAAAGAAAGAAACAAGTTTTACTTGGAGTACATAGAATGGGGGGAACAAAAAAACATGGTCCTACTATCCCGTCACTGCAGCACCCATGGAAGTGAAGAGTGAGACTGCTTATAGCATAAATCCGACCTGCTCCAGCACAACCATAATCACCATTAGCATTATGCAGTGTGAAGAGTATAGTCAGTACTGCTTACATTGGGAAGGATGAGGAAGAAGTGGAAGGAACTAATTTATCTATGGAAGAGATGATGAAGGGGCATATAATACCCATATAAATTTTGAAGGTTGCCATCAGAGTATGGCTGGATTTTATTGGCAGAAGTTTCTAATATATATTAGGGGGAAAAAAACCACATAGACAGAAAAAGTTGTGATGATATAGGCCACAGGGTATCCCCACTCACTGTATTGGCCAAGGAAATAGAAAGCAGATGAGCTGGACTACTCAAGCAGCACTAGTACTACCATTAGCATAAAGCAGCTCTAAGAAAATAATCAAAAAGGTCAGTGGTGCTTGATCCCAAAAAGAGGATGTCTTACAGCTTGGTGTCTCACCAGGAGCTCAAAAACAGTTCTATTCAACCTTATATCAAATGGATAGGTGCATTGTATATCATTTTATCTTAAGGGAAAATGTAAACCATAATTCGTCATTGCAAAAGTAAGTCACGGTGCGATCCTGGCTCACTGTGGTGTTCTTAAAATAGAGAGCAGATGAGCTGGAGCTTAAGCACAGTCAGAACCATCATTAGCATTACGCAGCACCAAGAGAACAGTCAACACTGCTTGCATTGGAAAGGCACTTGCAAAAGTGATGTTTGATTTAAACAAAGGATGTCTCATGATTTAGTGTCTCACCAGGAGTTCACAAGCAGCTCTATTAATTCTTAAACCAAATGCACAGGATGTTTGAACAAAATGTTTCTTCAAAGAAAATGGCAGCCATAATTAAAAAAGTAAGTCAGGGTATTGTGTCTCACTGCAGTGCTGATGGAAATAGAGAGCAGATGAGCTGGAATTGCTAAGCAGAACCAGAACCACCATTACCATTATGCAGCACTAAGAGAATAGTCAACACTGCTTGCATTGGAAAGGTGCATGCAAAAGTGGCGTTTGATTAAAAAAAGGGATGTCTTATGACTTGTGTATCATAAGGAGTTTACAAGCAGCTCTCTCTTAAACCAAATGACAAGTTAGTGCTTGAAAAACATGCATATCTGCAAAGAAAATAGCAGCCCTAATTAGAAATGTAAGTTATAGTGCTACAATGGATCTCCTCTCACTGTGGAGAGCAGATGAGATGGAACTGCTAAAGCACAACCATTAGCACAGCACACAACATACAACCACCATTAACCAATCTTCATTGCCCAAGAGAATAGTCAATAGTGCTTGTATTGTGATGGAGTAGGAAAAAGTGGTTCTTGAAAAAAGAGAGGATGTCTCACAAGCAGCTCTAGTAACTCTTGTACCAAATGGACAGGTAGTGCATTTAGGAGGTCAGCGATTCTCAGTGAATATGGCAGCCCTCATTGGTCATTGCAAATGTAAAAGTCATAGTGCAATGTTGGTATCCATAGAGCAGACGAACTGGATCTGCTAAAGCACAACCTGAGAACCTTTTTTTATCTAAACAAGAGGATACCTCATGACTTGGCACAACACCAATCATGATTATCCCACAAACATATGTATCAACTTTAGTGAATATATGCCATATGCCTGCATACGAAAAAGAAGCATATATTCCAATGCCATTTGAGTTGTTAGATGTAAAATGGCAAAAAAGTTTAACATGCACTAGGGAATAAAACAGATTTATTACGAATTTTTGTAATAGAACGCGGTAAAAGAAGAATTCTCAGGGCTGGAATAAAAAGTAGAAACTCATTACAACCAGACTTAGCCCGTTTTAGAATAAGAACAGAGTGGGCTAGATTGATTGAGTGGGTTCTCCAGAGGGGAGGAGGCACCTTTGGGAAATGTGACCCAAGTTATTGTCGCCGCGGTGGAAGGTAGAATGGTAATTCACGTCTTAACTTATTAACTCAGTTATTGCACCTGATGGCCAGGCTAATTTAATGAAGGGCTAAACCCGCGACTTGAATTTCCGAGTCAGGTCCGACTGTGAAATTACCACCATAGTTCGGTTCAATTGGAAAACGGCTTCTCTTATTAATGTCGGTTTCGGCGAGGTGGTTATTAAGTGGTTTTGCGGATTGGGTTCTAACGCTAAATAAATAGTCTGAAATGAGAATCGGTATCAGGAGGTAAACGAACGTCCTATTTCCACGTCTATTATCTAGCGTTACAAAACTGACATACTTACTTTTTCATCTAGAGCTTTGTGATGTTCGAAAAGGCTCTTTAAAGCCTTGAGGACTTCGACTTCGCTCGAAACGACAGACTGGGACGACGCCTGCCTCTTAACGACAGTCATCCTGAGGGACCTTTCGTGCCTCGAGACAAGACACTCTAAATGTTCAAGAAGCAACTGGAAAATAAATAAAGCGTTTAACAATTAACACAAGAAATTCCAGGAAATAAATTAGGATAACAATATTGCAGTTCTGCTTTTAAAATAATTTAACATCAATTATTACAATGGATCATTTAAGAAAGAGTGAAATTGAAGAGTTATCGAGAATAATCACAACGATACACAAACGGCAAAAATACTCGGCCAAAGGGAAAATACAACACTGCAAATAATTGTTCTTTATGTTAATTTCATGAAAACATCTCGATTCAATTTGTATTTCTTCAACTTGAAGATTGAAAACGTCTTTGAAGTCTTTCAACTTCTCGGCCCTTCTCAAACTTCTTAATTGCAATTTAACAAAACAGTCGCTACTTTCTTTCTTTACTTTATGAAAAGTGGACCAATTTAGAAGTTGTTTATTAGTTTTTAGGCAGTGGTGTCTTTTCAAAAAGTAAAATCGTTAATAAAACCAAAATATTCGTCAATGGCATTTAAAAACACGTGACAACCTGTTTTCATTAATTCTTGATAAATATAGATTATTATATTCATTCTGAGTCCGTGATTCTATGTTATGTAGCATAATATTGTACTTTTTCACTGGAAAATTGAGGAATATCATTTACTTCAAAGCAGTTTTTATTATTTATACTGCTAATTATAATTAAACAAAATTATTGTTATTGAATATAATTTTATTTTTACTTATTCTTTATAATTAAAAGCCTAAAAACTTATGTTTTAATTTGTACTTTAACAAAATGAAGAATTGATCGATGAGACAGATATTCAAATTTTAATCAGAGCAAAGCGATTTTCCTCCCTTTTCCACGTAATTTGAGTGATTTCTTTTTTTTTTGTTTAAGAAATCTTTAAAAGAGAGATTATCTCTTAATTTCAATTTCATCACTGGTCCGTTTTCTCGCTTTGGGGGGAGGCGATAAAGAGGAAGGGGCTTAAGTGCAGGATACTCACTCTCGTATTGTTTCTTTCCGCTTTGAGCTCTTGGATCTCTTCGTCTCTTTCTATTAGTTGTTCCCTTGCTTGGTTCAACTCCTTTGTTAAAGTGGCGAATTCCTGTAAACAAAAAAAATCTTTTTAGCCGTGGAATAGATTTGTGATTGATAAACATTAACGCAGACAAATGAGACCGGTTTTTCGCGAAAGATCGCAAAGAGGGCGAAAGTCATGCAAAAACTACTTGTTGATTACTAATCCAACAAAGTTTCTACGTGTTGAACAAATAGGAAATGACAAAAATTGGATATTTGTTGAAACGAGCAACATTCCATACAACCCACAAGCCCTCTGCCCATCCTAGGTCGTACCAGGTAACATTCAGATCGGTTTGCGAACATCCGGGTCCGTCCTCGCTGGTCTGGTCGATCGGACGGGTACTGCATTTTGTCATCTGAATATTAGACTGTTGGTATCTTTCGGCCACTAAAACAATCACGCATAGTCAAGACTGAAGTAAAATAACAGACAAACTCTGAAGATGAAATGCTGAAACACGCAGACAGACCAAAACAGCGAAGATAAGACGATCGAAAAGATCGGAAACGACCAAGCTGAAGGTCACACAGCAAACCTCAAGAGGAGATCTTAAAATATTAAGAATGTACTATAAACATAAAATAAAGCAGATGGCACTTCAAAACAAAAAGTAGAAGACAAGGGGAGAGTAAGGAAACAATGGGAATCTCTTACAAGACCCTGGTAATTTTATAAGTCTCCTGGGAAGATTTAAAAAAAAAATAGTAAAAGATTTAACAAATTTCTTAGTCGAACACTGCAAATTCAATGGGAATTTGAGAAAGACATCGACCAATACAAGAAATCAAAGAAGCAGTGCCAACACATTTGCTGATAAGTCTGGAGCTACATCTCGCACGAGAAAGGGTTTTAGGACCTTGCAAGAAATGCGACCATACCATCATACAAGTACATACCATGTAAGGCAAATAAAGTTAGGTGTCCTAAGAACCTAGGCAGCACACTGACATGGATGGAGTAAGAAGCCTTGGAGAAATACGAACATTAGGACTGAAATAACCGTAAAAACTTTTTTTCGATCACATTGGAACTGCAACGCCAACCTATGCAACATCCAGTCTTGCGGTACAAAACTAAGGCACTGAACTTCACTATCCACAATGACCTGAGCATAGCTTGTGTTCCAACTTTAAACCCTATTTGTATTTTACTAAAACAATAGTTCGAGGTTAATGACAATGACCTCGAAACCTCACCTATGTCGAGGATCTTACATGTCCTCCGGGTGCCGTAATGTCAGCGTTGTACCGGGAAAAAATAGCAATAGAACAAGTTTGTACTATGCTTACCTATGGATTACGGATATATGAATAAATCCATTTAAAAAAAATCCATATCCGAGATGATGGTGGAAAGTCGTGCTAATAAGAAAAAGATCAGAACGGGTATTTTTTTAAACTTTGGAATCTAAAATAGAGCCAACATAAATTGGTTAGTTGATAAGGGGAACGTTATCAAGACAGCCCCCCTGTCTAATTATACCGAGAGATCCTAAGGGCATTAACATAGGACTCCAGTAGGGTGGATTTAGGTATTCAGCCGAGCCCGAAATGCCATAGATCACTTTTAACCGTCTAAGAAGCCGAATTACTTTGAGCAACCTCTGTGAACGGGTCGAATTTCCACGGATAAGGGGCGATTTACAACATGAAGCAGGAGGAAATCCGCTGGCACACATGAAAGGAAGTTATCGAAAGTTTTGGCCGACTTATACAAGAATTGATTTTTCAATTCTGAGTAGACCGGTGGGTCTTAGCACTAGCGTCTCCTCGAGTGTTCTTGTTTGAAAGAAAATCAATTATTATGTGGAATAAAGAGCAGATTAATCTAACAGCAGGCGTAAAAATGGAAGTTTATCTCAGATTGCAAGAAAAATTTTCTGAATTTTTAATATCGAACAGCCTAAGTATAAAAAAGCAGGAGAGCAAATATAAGGAAAATGTTTCTGTCGATAACGGGACTCGACTGATGGAACTGAAACACGCAAGACTATCTTTTCCAATATTTAGCCGTAGAAATGTGGTCGGACAAGGTATGTCATCGTACTGGCAGAACTAGTTAAACATAGATATTTATTGACAAATTTTAGTTTTTCTACTGCAACTTAAACAAAGACGATAATTATTTCTTTTGTAGCTTTACCAGGAGATGCTAATTGTTACAGGGAAACATGTGAAAAGCTGGAAAGTCGTTTGTTTCTTTCCCTGCAGTATTGTAGTGGCCAGTTTTAATGTATCTCCATTCTTAGCCATATTGTACGAAACTTACTTCGTTTATTGTTTTCTTTTAGAGAAAGCTAGTCAACGTCAAAACAACACACAAGGACACAACACCAAAAATTGGGTAGATGCAAATGGTTATGTGGAAAAAGTTCGGACTTAAACCTAAAAGTGATTCTCTGTCTTTATTCGTAGAACTATAGTATAACTAACGTAGACCTAAGAATTGTCAGGTCAATGAAACGATATCTGACTCTCCTGTAATGGAAAAAACCCTTGCAGATCTTCTATTTGTATTCAAAGGATGGATGGCATATCAAGGTAAACAAGCATTGGGAATGAGCAGGAAAACGTGGTGCTTGATAAAAAAAAAGTCTCTTGACGTGAAGTCTCACCATGAGCTCACAAGCATGTCTATTAAGCCCTCCACCAAATGGACAGGTAGTGCAGTGAACCATCAGCACAAATCAAGGAAAAATGGCAGACCTATTGAAAAAGTTATGGGGAGCTATATTGGATCCCAACTCACTGTGGTCCCTATGGAGTCAAAAGCGGATGAATTGGAGTTGCTCAAGCACAATCTGAACCACCATTAGCATTATGAAGCTCGAAGAAAATAGTCGACACTGCACGGTGCCTGATCCAAAAAATAACTCCGTCTCACCGGAGCGAACAAGCAGCTCTAAGGACAGGAATTTTTAAGTCTGCGTATCTCAAGCCATGTGAACTGTGCCGGTGGTGATGATATAAACTACCTCTTCATATCATCCATACGGTAGAAGAAAGTACAGTTGCACATAGATCATCAAGGACAGCTGAGCTACCTCCATGATGTTAAACTACTAAAACTTTAGAATTCAGGGAGCAACCTTGGGAAGGAATGGCTTTACGAATAAATACAACATTATAGTACCTGAAAGAACATAAGGACTAAATGTTTGGGTCACGGGCGCAAGGCAAAAAATAACTTCCTCTATGCATATACAGTGATAGTCAGGTCCAAGCAGTTAATTCAAATGATCTCGGGTAGTACAAGACTTGAGAGCACTGTAAAAAACAAGAACATGGAACAAATTGTCTGTTGTCTTAGTCTGGGGCTCACTGGACAGAAGGCTAATAAAAAAAATAATAAAACTAAGCAATGTGGTGCTTTAACAGTACCAGGACCAGAATCGTTATGTATAATAAACATCCCTAAAATAGAAATATTTGCCGAATGGAACAAGATACTCACAGTTTCACAAATAGACTAGTGAAAATTTACATAAAAATGTACTGATGGAATAGATAGATATACAGAGATAAAGATTGAAATATATAGAAAAAGTGTGTGAGTGAGTGAGTGAGAGTGAGAGAGAGTGAGAGAGAGAGAGAGAGAGAGAGAGAGAGAGAGAGAGATATGATGTGACAACTCTAGACTGAGACAGGCAGTTCTGTTCTACTTTTTCAAAGTGTGGTTTTATTAAGATGAAAATTTGTAGATGGTGTAAATAGAAAGTCGGGAGGATTGTCCGGTAAATGTGTTTGCAGGGGGTGGCCCAGCGTGAGTGCACTTACCACGAACCCAAATCCATTTCGAAGGAAACAACCTCCCCTAACTCAACAGAACAGCGCGGCACAAATGCAAGAATTTGGAGTTTCCACCTACCATTGGGGTTCGAAATAAATGAATTGTTCCCTTTCGCCGGGGATAATTGACTGCACTACAAAATCAACGTAGGACTCGGCGATAAACGAGGTCTTTTACATCCCCCCCCCCATAAAATTATTATACAACCGGACACAGCAGAGACGAGTAACAACCCTTTCGCCCGAACTTTGCAAAAGTTTCACCCCGAAGTAGCTAGCAAACAAAGCTCCAGGCGTCGAAGTTTAAATTACTTCAGAGCCGGCCGGAGGGTAATCACTTTCTGACGTCAAAAGATCCAGCCCAATTGTTCCAATTTTAACAAATTTGTCTCGACAAAAACAGAAAAAAATGGGTGGACAATTCGAAGCAAAGCGTTATCTCAACTCTACTACCTACATTTGACCAACTGCACTATTTCATTTTCCAAGGAAACACTCCCAACTATTCATGTTTACAGCCAAACTAATAATTTCTAAACTGCCAACATAAAAACGAAGTAGGAAGGTTTTTCGACATAGAACGAGTAGGAAGGATAATGATTTTCTCTGTTTACGAGTCGTTTTAAAGTTCTCGGTATATTATGGAACAATTTTCCTCCTACAAAGGAAAAACACGTCAATAAATGTAAACCAGGTGATTAAATCTAAACTAGTTACATTTCAAAGAAATTTCACTTGACTACAAACTCTAATTTGTCTTGATATACTATATCGAAAGAAATAGCTTAATCTAGAGACATTTTTTAAATTGTAAATTTTAACGGGTCTCACAAAAAATCCTAATTCAAGCTAGAATTGTTCAGAGTATATTGTGTGTAAAGAAGGCAGAAATTGAATTATTCAACAGGCCTAACGGACAAAATTGGTTGTGTTCTGATTAAATTCTTAAGAGGGGGATTATCATAGGATCCAGCTACTGAGGGAAATTAATTATAATTAACTAATGTAATAACAACGACGTTAATACAATAACCAACTATGGTCTGTATGCTTTATAGATGTTTGCATAAGCGGTGCCTTTTTCAACAATGTATTGTGTATGTACACTTTACGTACAAATATTTTAAATTGTAAGTATTAATAAAATTTATAAGGTTTCATTTCGTGTAAGAAAGAATTTATATGTCGCAATCACAATAACTGTAATTTTTATAAGTAATTTATTATTGTACA